GCAGGGTTGTTTGCAACCAATTTTGGTGGTTTGGGGCATTTTTGGCGACGTTAGGCCTGACCCAAGGTCACTTTGTTCCGGAAAGGATATCGCCTGTGGTGCATCGATTGGTTAAGGTTTCATACTGATCGGTGCCATAGGCGCGGAGCATGAGGTTGTCCGCAGCCCTGCTTTCTGGTTTTCGTAACTCGGATGACCTTTGACCTGACTCAAGGTCACTGTATTCTGGAAACGGTGGATTATCGACCAAGCGACATCGAATGGGGAAGGTCCGGTGTTGATCGGTGTCATAGGCTTGGGGCATGGGGTTGTGAACAAGTTTGGTCGGCCGTTTAGTTCCTCTCTTCTTGAAGGTGAAAGTGGTGACCTGAGGACACTAGTTTTAAATAGGGTAATGAAACTGTATGCTGACTTTCAATTGAAGTCTGTATGAAGTAAACCTGTCTGCGATTCTGCTGTTTTAACTTGACTACATGGGTGGCGGTGAAATAGTTTTGTCCCGAGACACGTGGGAAAGGCGCTGAGTGGCCAAAGTGTCGTTTTGTTGGTTATTGGCGTTTTCGGGCTCGTCGACTCCAATGGTCATTTTGCACCCATAACGATGCTTTTACTGAACTAGTGTGCTGTGAAAATGACTTGAAAGCCAGCATTTTTTTAAATCGAAAAAAGTTGTTTGGACTCAAGAAAGCAGGAGATGTCAACGAGCGCACCGCTAATTATCAGGGACGAGGCCTGCGGTCCAAAATGACGTCGTCGTTCTTCGGTGAGGCACGCACATGATACGACATGGTGGACAGTGCAAACGGCACCACACCGATGCCATAGGGACCTATCGGCTCCATGCAACAGATGACCATGGGTGGCATACGTGTGTCCAATACGCAACCTGCATACAGCTGCTTCTTCCCGCCGCGCACTGCGAAAGCATGACGACCACAAGCCCAACTCGGTTCTCATCGCCCTGAACTTATTGCCGCCCATCTGGTCCCAACAGCGCTGTATTTTCTTTTGAGAAAGGACTTGACTGCCGGGTAGAAATCTCTGGCAGGGACCGGCAAAAACCGGGTGCATGGTGTCACTGTTGCTCGCTTGGCAGCGGCAATCAGCCAAATCGTTGCGCACGATACCGACGTGACTGGGGATCCAGCACAGTGCAACTCTCTTTCCAACCCGATTCAGCTGCGTCAGGGGTGATAACATGTCCTGCATAAGGGGACATGCTGGATAAAGAGACTTCAGTGCAGAGAGACTGCTCAGTGAATCTGTAAAAATGGCGTGCGAAGATTCTTCACCAACTTCTATGAAACATACCGCCTTGGTAATCGCGATCAATTCCGCTGTGAAAACTGCCGCGTGGACCGGTAACGAGAACGATCGAGTGACGGAGCCGCTGGCGAAAGCACAACCCACGCCATCCGAGGTTTTGGATCCGTCCGTGTACGTCAGAGTGTATCCTTCATAAGATGCTATAAGCTCAAGCGTCCTGGATCTCACTAGATGTGGTGTGACGTCTTATTTCCTAATTTATGTATGCGAGGTGTTTATGAAGGGTATGGTCACTTGTCAAGGACGGGAAGCCAGGTGGCTTACTTGCTTTGCACCTCGGAGAGAAATTTCGCCCTCTTGCAATAAGGCTCTCACTCAGAAACCAAAAGTTAAAGCGTGCTGCTGCACTCCATGACAAAGGGAACTCACAGCAAACCGAGAAAATACTTCAGAATATGTCGGATGTGACGGGAACTGCCGGCAGCTTCAAGGCATAACGTATGCCGAGCATTTTCCTCCTCGCTGACAGTGGTGACTCGTGTGCCTCCGTTGAAAGGCTGACAGAAGGTGATATGCGAACTCCCCAGTAACAATACGAACGGCAGTATGGTGGACGGTATCAAGAGCACGCTTGCTGGATTAGACGCCCCATCATAAACAAAGTATGCATAATCCAGTTTGGAACGGACGAGTGAACGATATAAAAGCATAAGCGTGTTTCCGTCTGCCCCATATGACGTGCGAGACACACACTTCAGTATGTTGAGAGATTTAAAGCAGCGATCGCGGACGTTGTAAGATTGCATGATATGTAAGGCGGCGGCCAAAGTGTATCCCAAGGTACCTGGCCACGGCCTTTGTTGGAATAGAGCGACCATATAGACGGATGCTCAGGCCATCGCATCGCAGGGGGCGACAAAAATGTGCTGCAACGGTCTTGTCACCCGAAAAACGAAACCCGTTCACGTCGCTCCACCTTTCCACGCGGTCCACAGCCAGCTGGAGACGTCGCTCCATCGCTGGCGCCCTCGCTGCACTGGTCCAAATAGTATAATCGTCAACAAAAAGGGGACGTGCGACCGACTGGGGGAGCACATGACAAATATCGCTTATGGTAACTGCGAACAGTGCTATACTTAGCACGCCGCCCTGGGGCACACCGTTTATTTGTTGGCACTTACCGGAGCGGACGTTGTCGACGCGAACACGGAAATATTGTTTGGCTAAACACCTTTGGAGAAAAGTACTCACATGGCCACATATCTAAAAGCTTTTGAAGAATACGCCACGTGGTGTCATAGGCGGCTTCAATGTCAAAGAACACTGTCCCCATATGTGCTTTCTCTCGGAAAGCCTTACGAATCATAGTGTCCAAAGCTAAAAGGTGGTCCACCGCACTTCGATTTTTTCTAGAGCCGCACTGCGAGTTACTAGAAATATCGTGATTCTCAAGTGAATTCAAATCAAACCAAATCAAGTGAAACCAAATCCAAATAAAAAACACCAGGTGAATCGAACGTTTACCATCCTTTCCATGAGCATGGACAGCGATGACGTCAGTGAAATGGGTCGGTAATGAAGAGGGTCTATGCCACTCTTTCCCGGTTTTAAAATGGGCATCACAACAGCTTCCCGCCAGGCCGGAGGGAATTCGCCACTTGACCACACCCTATTGAAGGCCGCCAACAGCACACGGCGTGCGCACAGGAAATGGCACGGATGAAAACCGCCCAGAGATAGGTTTGATCCGATCCCAAACCTGCGAAGTTGGCGCGAATCGATTAAGCGCGCTTACATACGCCTGGAGTCACGTTTCGCCTCTTTTATCGTGCCACGGGCGAAAGCTCTCGCCCTCTTAAAAGGTACTAAATTCTCCAGAGTACTTCTGGCGTCAAAGGCTCGGAAAGCGCGTTTGCAAGAGCGAATTGCGCCACGACACTTCTCTGTCCACCACGGAACATGAGTGCGCCGGGGAAATCCAGAAGTGTGCGGGATACAATCGCTAGCGCGATCTAGAAGTTGAGTAAAATCCTCAATAGAGGGTGTCACTCTCTCACCTCCGGTTAGACACAGTGTCTCCAGTCGAGCCTCAAACCTACTCCAGTCAGTCTCTCTTAATTTCCAACGTCGTGGCCTTACACCCAACGTTCCACTGATCTGGCATCGAAGTCGCACTGGGAAGTGATCGCTGCCTATTGGGTCTGCCACAGACCACTCTCCATCAGCTCGGGACAATAAAGATCCGTCAGATAAGGATCGTCAGATATTTACCAAAACGATCACCAAAAATATGCGCAATCGGCTTCATTTTTGAAACTATGCGTTAAAAAGATTGCGCTAAGGGGTAATATCTCCCAAAAGAAAATATTTGTGAGTACTATTGAGGTGTGTGTGTGTGTGTGTGTGTGTGTGTGTGTGTGTGTGTGTGTGTAATTGGGGCTTTACGACGCACTCAGCTGCTGAGGCTATATGGCGTCGCCTGCCTCTCACCCTGGCAGGAAGGGCGGGTACCGCGGGGAATCGAACCCCATAACTCTAGTCTCCCAGACGCGCAGTGGTTAACACAGACGCGTCAACCACTACAATATCGGCACCCCGTACTATTGAGGTCAATGAACTCCTGTGACCTTCATTAAATCCATATAAGATGCTTGTTGACGTCCCTGTGATCAAGAAATCAGAAATGAGGGTTAAAAACTACCGCATCAGAAAAGTTATCCAGTAAAAAGGCGCTTCAGTTTTGGCCTCGGTCGTACCTGACCCAAGGTCGATGTAATAAGTCGCAATCATGACTTAAATTGTCCAATGTCTGCAAAGCTATCTCAAAGACATATGGCTTCATCTAACATTCGGTGTATAATCAGATTCAACCATTCACTAGGAACCGTCTTCGATGTCAGCCGTTTCCTGATTTTGGCCTATCATACATCAGGGACCTTATACTATACTCAACGTGTTCATACCAAAAGATCGACTATTCCATTGCCTGCGTATATACCAGGTTTAGCGAGGCTACGCAGTGCCGTTCTGAAGTTGGTCTGGAGAAAAGCTTCGGAAGGGGGGGGGGGGGGCAATGTACCCTCCTCACTTGAGCGCATTTTAACTCAGTTCGAAAATGGACATCGAGTTCAAAACAATGGCGGCTCGAGCTCAGCACGAATTCAAAACAATGACGGCACGAGCTCAGCGAGCCCACTGAACACAACTTGACCGAGTCAGATACTTTTAAAAACGACGTATGAAAGCGCACACGGTGCGGCCATCAAAATTACAGGCGTCTGGGGGCTTGAAAGCTGGGGTCCATTGACATTACGAAGGGGGTGGTGTATCTTAAGTACAAGTACCGGTCAAAACCACGCCACACCTAAGCTATGTTTGTACCCCCTCCCATAGTGGATGATATGCATGCAAATTTCGGGACAAATCTACAACCCACCGTCGCACGCATCCTGACAATAATTGTATTGGTGCACATGGGTTATGACAAAACATGAAATTCAGCACACGAGTTGGGGATGAAGCCCAAAATGGACAGAGATGCTCATAAAACCACTAGACTCCCACAAATCATTCTCAGGGGCAAAGTGTGGCAGACGCTTGTCTTCCCCCTACACACATTCTACAGCACATCAAGCAAAGGGCATCGTTTCTTAAAAGTAATGCGTGCCAGAGATCCCCTTTGTACCAACTTCTCGTGTTCCGACCCCCCCCCCCCCCCCCGCCCCAATCGGCCCTTGTTCGCACACCGCCGCCTCACTCCTTCTTGTTCTTCTTCTCCCTGTAGACTATGACGTAACGCTGGGCCACGCGCAGCGGCGGAGCGAAGCCATCCGTATAGGACGAGTCTTCGAACAGGATCTCGTAGTCGTCCACGGCGGTGGCCGGCGCGGTTTTCACCACGCCCTTGTAGAAACAGGTCGTCTGCGGGTAGATGGCGTTCACTGCCGCCGGCACGGGCGGCGTCAGCGTGACGTAGGTGGGGGGTCGCACGGGGATCGGCCGCAAAAGCGAGGAAAACTCCAGGAATGACGCTGCTCACCCAGCCGACGGCGCAGCACTAATGCGAACAAATTGATGCCTTAACGATCTCGCTTGCATTCTGCTCGACAATCGAGCGAAGGAACAAGCGCCACAAAGCAAGGTGCGCAGCTCGAATGTCGCCATATCGTTTTAAGAAGTCGCGTATCCTAGACGAGAAGCGGAAAGATTCCAAACCGGCGACCATGCGACGACGCTGCATGGCAGGGCGGCGGCTGTCCGAATCCAAAGACTCTTCGGCAGACATGCCAGGGCAAAATTACATCATTGTTTGGACTATGTGTGCGGCGGGAGGCAAGTCACGCAATAAGCCGCGATTAGCGTCGTCTTTGATCCTGAAGCCACTCTTGCAAGCATTTGTAATCATCACAGAGATGAAATCTCTCAATTGTTCACTCCGGTCAGAATTTATCCGTGTCATAATCAAACGTCCGCAGAGTTCTGGAAGTCTTGTTCGCGACTCATTAGGGTGCATTCGAGGCATCTTTCCTCTCACGGCGGCCTGGAGCCAAAGGGTAGGGAAAGGTTCAGCCTTAGCCCCGTCGGTGTTTCCCTTCGCCGCACGTACCGACGGCCGTCTCCTGGAAGAGCGCCTCTGGCTGGGTGTCCGGATTAGCCCGCATGGTCGGCAGCGGGATGACACGCCGCCGGCTCAGGATCATGCGCTCCCGCTGCTCCTCGTCAATGTCCTCCACCTCGTACTTGTTGCTCGAGGAGTTGTAGGAGATGACCTCGGCCAGGATCCAGTTCTCCTCGCCGTCGCTGCCACGCACGAGGGCGGCCACCATGTCGCCCGCCTGGCGGAGCGGAGGGCGCGGTGAGACAGTGCGCGCCGGAGGGCCCAACGCACGCACACGCTCAGTGCTGGCACAAGCAGCGCTGCACACCGACGTCTCTATAGTGTAGGGGACACTGCTGAGGCACTGACACTTCCTTATGGAGTCGCTCATATGTTGGACGACGCTCACCAGGAGCTCCATGTCCCCCTCGCGTGCACATTCCCCGTCCCGTCACATAGCCGGCCTCGTCGTATATCGGAGCCAATCCACGGTAAGATCATACTTCGCAACGCGGCTCACACAATCCCATGCATTGTTCTTAACTGGTCACCCACTCACTTCATATGACGGCACCACTCATGTCCAAACTGGGCCACCGCAAGTGTGCGTAAAATAACTAATATCGACACTGTACATGCACCACCGCCGCGAAGCCAGGTCGGGTCGACGTTGCATCAAGCCCACCCAGCATGGCATGTCCACGTGCACGCTATAATTACCAACCCACATCCGTGAAGCCTGACATCGGCATGCATGGCCCCTGACGTGACACCCTAACGAGCTTGACGCCACGCTAATGTCACCCCGCGCCACGTGTCACACCCGGTCCGCCTGCGAAGCCCCACCGGGCCACGTCGGCCGCCTCCTCACCTTGGCAGCGTAGTTGGGCTCGGCCTGGACGGCACCGCAGAGTGCGGGTGGCTCGTCGCCGGGCGACCCGATCCACAGCGGCAGCGTCTGCGCCGTGTTCTGCAGCATCTTCATCAGCGCGCCGCGTCGGATGGTCTCCTTGTTGCCAGAGTGCTTGGCCTGCCGGGGCGAACGCATGGTGACGCGGAGCAGGTGGCAGAGCGTCGGCGTCGCGCGGCAGTACACGACAAAATGGCCAACCGTATTTGAAAAGTAAAATAAACACTTACAAAATACCCACCGAGGTTTACCGGACCATGTTGGGTCTGTAATCTCTTCCCAAGAACGCGGGTGAACCAAAGTGTTTTCGGCGGCCTTACCTTCGAAAACACAGCAACACACGCAGCTTTGCAACACCGCCACTTTGAAAATCACCACATTCCCGCCGCAGGCCTCTGTTATTAGGCGCCATCCATCGAACCACGCGATCTCTGCCCTCGTCCTGCCCCAGGCCAGGCAGATGCAGTTACCTGTAGTCGGAGCTCGTTGCGGATGCTCCTGATCTCGTAGATGGTGGCTAAGGCACTGCGAATCAGCTCCGCCTCGCGCTCGGCATCGCCCCGCGCCGTCACATACATGCTCTTGAGACGCATCTGGGGGCAGCGGGCGCAGCTCGACCCCGACGCACACCAGCCAGCGGACACCGCCCCATTCGAATGCATTGTCTGGCGTTGACCAGGCTCTCTCCGAGGAGACGGCGGCTGCGGTCGCCCGCCGCACCGTCATGCGCGACTCCAGCATCACCAGCGTATCCCTCCACCGTCGGCTCGGGCAGCTTATGCTCACTTGCGGGACCGGCGACCGCCATTACGCCCCATGCCCCCCGCCCCCTCCCCCGCCACTGCGAGTGCTGGCGGAGAGACGCCCGAGAGGGGACAACCCAGAGGACCTACCCCCAGGAGACCTGCGCTCACTGGACCAACGCTCGAGGCCTACGCTCGCTGGACCCACACTCGCGAGACCTACGCTCGCTGGACCTACTCTCGCGATACCTACGCTCGCTAGACCTACGCTTGCTGGACCAACACTCACCAGACCTACGCCCAGGAGACGTACGACGGGGACCACCCAGAAGACCTACCCCCAGGAGACCTACGCTCACTGGACCAACGCTCGAGGCCTACGCTCGCTGGACCCACACTCGCGAGACCTACGCTCGCTGGACCTAGACTTACGAGACCTACGCTCGCTGGACCTACGCTCAAAAGGCCTACGCATGCTGGACCTACGCTCAAAAGATCTACAAATGCTGGACATACACTCACGAGGCCAGCGCTCGCTGGACATACGCTCATAAAACCTAAAGTCGCTGAACCTATGCCCAGGAGACCTGCGCTTGCTCGAAGAGAGGAGAGAGAGAGAGAGAGAGAGAGAGAGAGAGAGAGAGAGAGAGAGAGAGTGTGTGTGTGTGTGTGTGTGTGTGTGTGTGTGTGTGTGTGTGTGTGTGTGTGTGTGTGTGTGTGTGTGTGTGTGTGTGTGTGTGTGTGTGCGCGTGCGTGCGTGCGTGCGTGCGTGCGTGCGTGCGTGCGTGCGTGCGTGCGTGCGTGCGTGCGTGCGTGCGTGCGTGCGTGCGTGCGTGCGTGCGTGCGTGCGTGCGTGCGTGCGTGCGTGCGTGCGTGCGTGCGTGCGTGCGTGCGTGCGTGCGTGCGTGCGTGCGTGCGTGCGTGCGTGCGTGCGTGCGTGCGTGCGTGCGTGCGTGCGTGCGTGCGTGCGTGCGTGTGTGTGTGTGTGTGTGTGTGTGTGTGGACACTGACATACAGGCGTAGGAAGTTTCAAGAAGTGGAAGCTCCAAACTCAGGACGTACTTCAGGATCTTTTTCTGGAAAGCAAGCCTGATGACCAAGGGGAGAGGGGGAGGGGGGGGGGGCTAGAGAAGGAGGTTGTTATCGTTTTTCATTCAGAGATCATGGCTGCTGTGCTACATATGCATCTAGAGCTGTTTCTCACTGGTGCACAATCTTGCCTATTCGACTCATATATGTCATTCGGCAAATAAGGCTATCCAGCTTCCCAGGATTATTCGTGGATTACAACAGTCTCTCCTGGAGAGGCGAAATTCTACAAGCGAGTAGTCAATCTAGGTCATTGGGGAGGCATCTGTCTCCACAGAGCAGATACCAAAATGCAGCCTGGACATAGGCCGGTGAGAATTTTGAAAGTGAATCGATGGCTCGCAGTGCGATGGATCTTTCATGCGCCTTCATTTCGCTGGCTGTTTTTCGAAAGAAGACTTGTCGCAGCATTTTAGGCGGAAACAAATTCAAAAACACGAAACTGCGCAAAAAAAAGTGACGAAAGCCATAAAACTGGGGATTCTCCTTTAGAAACCAAGCCCCCGAATGAAGGCCCTTCAGTCATATATTCCTTATCTGGGTCCTGCCCCCGTCCACGTTCGCGGCTGTTGCCCTGACCCGTCTGCCTCCCTCTTGACTGACTGCCAACTGATCGTGTGGCTGCTTTGTTGCACATCTCTGAGTCAGCGTTACTACTAATTGGTGTGTAAAACATCTTGAACACCTGCAACAGTATCTTTCTCCGAATTTGCTTCCCTCACACCACACCACTGCAGAAAAAAACCTCCCGGAAGCTGCCTGCCTCAGGTATAAATTGGCCAAACGGATATTTATTTGGCCATCATTCAACGTAGACGACTTGATCTGATTTTGTGTGCAGGCAAGGTCGTAGTCAAAGCGTTGTCAAGGACCAACACACTGTTGACAAAAGCCCCTCTTATGGTGAGCCCCCCCCCCCCCCCCTCCCCCAAAAAATACATAAATAGGTTACCCGTAAACAAGGGACACGGTTTTTCTTCGTTTTATGATTATTTTCACCTTGCAACCAGAACAGAAACCAGAAGCTACCGTGGGATCAATTTTGTTTGTATTTTGAAGTCAATAAACTGCCGAAATCAGGCGTTGAAAGACTGCACGGAATAAATCGCCGGCACCATTAATTTATAACGGCTTAGTGGACTCTTTCTGAATCGATAAAATTCGGAAGCTTTATCAGAATTTTGTCTGGATTATAGATCAAGACATCGCAACGGTAGATGGTAGATCGGTATGTTTGCTCGCAATTTCAAGATGAAATTTGATTGTAGATCGAATGGTCAAAACTGTGTATCAACATGGCCAAGCCATGTTTTTTTCTGGAAATGGTCAACATTCGGTCCGAATCGATTAGTGATACAATTTATGTGACGTGGTTTTTTAACACGCGCGCTCGTAAATCTTAGCAACAAAAACCTCGCCATCAGGCGTTGCAGTCTCCGTATTCCGCGGAAGCTAATTGGCTAATACCAGTGGCTAATATAACCCCAGTGGCTAATTATAAATAACCCCAGTGGCTAATTCTTAGTTGAAGCTCACCAGTGGACAAAAATGATGACCTTCTGAAATCATTACATTCAACACTGAAATCGATAGGTCATGCAAGCTATGTGACGTAGTTTTGAGCATGCGCACTCGTAAATCTTAGCAAAAAAAACTCGACAGCAGGCGTTGCTGTCTCCGTAGACAGCGCAGCGTTGGTTCAGCAGCTGATACTGAGCTGTAATCAACGACTGGACGAAAATGGTGACTCGGCGGAACCTAACAGACTGTCAGCACCACGGCTTTCGTGTACACGGACGATACGACGGTGCACTGCGGTGGCAGCACCGTCGCGACGGCGAGGAGCGGCGGGCGGCGGGCGCACGTCCGGTGGGCCCGCCGCTCCAGGTTGAGTGTAGCTATTGAGGCGACCCAGGCCCTGGTACTCTCCTAGTGGTCCCAAGGCGCCATCGACTGCCAGGTCAACGCTACTGTCACGACAGTGAGTTCCGGCGATCAACTCAAACCGCTCTGCGTCACGCTGAATGGGCCGCTTCAATTTGGGTCCCACAGCCGCGAGCTGAGGGAGCGCGTGCGCCCCAGGCTATGCCAGCTGCGGATGCTGACGGGCCACAGCTGAGGACTGCAGGGCAGGAAACTGCGCAAGGCGTGCGCCATGTCCAATGCGTGTGGTGGCCGAATCACGCGGTCGCCAGGTCGCTGCCGGCGGCATCCGCTACTCCCCCCCCCCACACACACACGTGGAGTTGCCCGGAGCGGAAGATGCGTGTGGCGCCCCCTGTTACCACTGCTAGCCATGCTCACCAACCACTGCACTCAAATAAGGCAAGCTTAAAGTCTGCCATTAACATAAGGAATGTGATATGCTTGCATCACACGGCTGCGATCGGCTGCGATGACGCTAGCAAGCCCAACTTTGCACAGCATGGTCGACTTTGGGAAGTAGTTGGGCAGAGGGAGTCGACGCTGATGGGGGCCCGGCACATGGTGGTCCCGCAGGTACAACACAAGCTTGTTATGTAGTCACCATAGTGTGCGCAGGCATTTATAGCAAGACAGTGGATGAACGTGTTGAATGGGGGGGGGGGGGGGTCTGCACTCATTAGCACATGGGGTGCATTGCTTCCACTGAGACGGCCCGGGACTGGCTCACGCTCAAAGTACATGTGAACCACACCTTATTCATGGGCGTCAGCTTTCCATCTTGTTGTATTTTGTCATGCAGAGCATTGATTGCTTCCAAGTTTGGGTCACCTTTCTTTCGCTCAGCTTCTATGTCGGAGATACTCTTAGAGACAATTTTGAGCTTGTCCTGAAAACAGGAGAACCGTCAGCTTTCTGCGGCGATTTATAGGTCGACCACTTCACGATTATGCACGAGTTCCTTAAAACCATGAATAAGAGGAAAACTCCTTCCAGCTATACAAACTTGTCCATATGCAAGATTTCCCCCACCCCCAAAAATAATCCTCAAATAACGGACATAGCCGAGATATTTGTTCTTGATTTGCAAACAACATAGACACCATACAACGTGAGGAACATAGTCATCTGTTTCCAACCTTGCTAGTGACTATGACAGCCCAGATCAAGCTGGTGCTCCCGCCTGACCCCGGCACCGCCGCACTGACCTGTATGGTGCCGGCCTCGGCGTTCATGGCCATGACCATCTCGGTGCTGAGGCTGAGCGGGTACGGCGTCAACGACATGTTGACCAGCTCAGGCAGCCGCAGGCGCCGGTATGACGCCGACCCCTCGCCAGCTTTCGGCGAGCGGGGGCTACCGACGCACTTGTTCTTGGCACCTGGTGTGCGACCCATGGCATCTACGCACGGTCCTCAGCCACTGGCAGAGGCGCCACCTGGCGTCCGGCGACGCACTGGGCAGCCAGCACTGTGTACACCCAGCCAATGATGGTCAATGTCCAAAACACCTGAAATAAGGAGAGTGGAGGGGATGCTCACAAGCCATATGAGCACAAGGACATCTCTGAGCATTCCATCATGTTAAACTTGATGCAAACAACTGAGATAACAACAACACAACCATGTCCATTCACAGCAAGCATTGTTGGAACTCATCAAGCCATTAAAACTTTGGAGCAAAATTTAAATTTTTTAGTGGAGGTATTTCTATAATACATCAACAAAGCAACATGCTATAATGAATGACACCAGTGACTGTAAACATTCTGACCCGGCAAAACAAAATTGGCTACTTCCCTTCACGCCCCCCAAAAACATCGGCATTATTTCATGTTACCATATACAAGTGGCACATTTACACATATACCCAAATCAGCAGTGCAAAATATGTTAACACTGGACAAAACACAAACTTTTCTCAAAATAAATTAATAGAGCAGTTTCCAAGGAGCCACTGGACTGATGTCCTTAAACATCATGCATCCAAAAAGTGGGAGAGGTAATTGGACCATGCTAGGTTGTATAAAATCATGACTTTAAAGCTATGCAGAGTGAATGTAGGCTATAACATTTTTTGATAATGACACATCCCAAAAGTTTAATCATTTGAAAAGGTGCTATAAATGGCCAAAGGCTAAGTGTGGATTGCCTTCACAAGTTGTGTACATGGATAGGCCTATTTTTATATGAACATCACTCATTTAAGTGACACAGCTAAAAATGAGAAATTCACACTTCAGACCATGTCAAGCAATTTTAACCAGTTCATTAAACTGAATTGATGGACAAATATGGATTGGACTGATCAAACTGAAATATGGAGACAATACTGATAATCTCACTTGTTATGGTATGATCAAGAAAAAGGAGAAACAGAGATATGTGAACATTGCAAATGTGTGCCTGTCAAAATGAGTATGAGCAGTAAATTCAAAGCTGCTCATCAATCCTTCATACATTTTCAAGTTTTGTGTTATGAAAAGCTCAACAAGTCTCTGCTTTTATTTATATTTTACTTAAAAATTTAGTGCGATGGCAGACCATTTTGAGATTACTGCTCACAATCCTCTTGACAAAGGCATGTATCCCAAAAATTTATACATCTCTCTCCCTCTCTCTCCAGGTTCTTCAAAGAGGAAAAAGGCCATCTCCACAGTCTTATGGATACCAAGTATTCATCACAGTGACACTGAGCAACTCATGAACTCTTGAGAGGGATAACCTAACCTTAGAATGGCATCTGAAGTAGAAATAGACCAAAACAAGTATCATGCAAGCAGCATTAAGCATCACCATTTGTTTTAAAGGAAAATTCAAGGGATGTTACCTTCCTTCCTTTTGAATAATTACATGCATAGACACCTGAACAATGTGATGACCAACAAACAACCTTTTAGTGATTGCTGACTTAAGCTGAGCCACTTAACATAGTCAAAAACATACTCATTTAAAACTAAAACAGAAACAGAATGGTGCATTGCAAAGGGGCACAAAACACTTCTGTATGAATTCCATGCCCTGAGCTATGTATACCACTGGCTGAAGCACAAAGTAGGAAAACAAAGATTCTTTGTTGCATTTTTTCTTTTTAGCTTCACTGCTTAGATGGCACCAGAGCAATGCAACCTTAACTAGCTAGACCACATCTCAAGCAAAGGATATAACCTATGTAAAGCCATGGTCATGCATAAGTACACCATACAGCATAGCAAACTCAGGCCAATGCAATACTACCTGCTAGTGACCACCCGTCAGAAAAAGAAATATGGGTGGCTTTAAGGCGCCCCATTTAAATACAATGTTAAGTGAGCTGAGAAATAAAAGACACATACCGCCTCCAAAGCTGAAATTCGGCAGAATTCACACTTGGAGACCATTAGGAAGTATAAGACGGTACCAGACAGCAGATTCAAGCAAAATATTCTGTTATCGTGATCTAGGTGGGCCCTTTTAGCGGATACGCACGGCCGATTTCACGGAACACAAACGAGGGTATGCGGTTAGGGACTATCTCCAGATTACGGTATGCAGATACACTATGATTTAACCGGCTTTTGCCGCTATCTGAACCTGATGCGTCGGTGTTGTCGCAATTGTCCCGAAGGAGGTTTACGTGATGCACTGCAGTCAAATTGCAGTGTTGTAAGCGATCGGCGGGGGTGTGTGATGGAGAAGGCTGTTCTGATTGTAAATGGTAGTCATGTGGTTGTAGTTCGTTGCTAGTGTTGCGTGGCACGAAGTGATCATCTTAAATGCCCTGCTCAATTTTGAGGAGAATGGAAAGACTTAATTCACGAGAGATGTGCATCAAGCTGTCCGTATTTTTTCATGCTGCATATTGTGTCTGCTGCATTGATTATTTCCCCCATACATAAGGCTGCCTGGACACATGTGTGCTTGTCTGCAAATATATTCTTCCACCGTGCCCAGTTGTGTATGCTATGGGAGTTGACTTCTATGGCATGTGTGCAATCCATTTTCTACTGAAATGTACAAAACTGAAGCTAGGCCAAATTGAGTGGATTTTTCTTATTGGAGCTGTGTGTATTGGGATGTCCTTACAATTCAGCATGAAATTACCTCAGCAGGATTATAATTCCCCAAAATACCAGCTCTGTGGTGAAGTCAATGGTGATTATGTGACGAGCTCTGAGCGATGGGCATACAGTGCACATGTTCTGAAATGTGTGCTGTAATGTTGCTATTGAAAACGTTTTGTGTGGCATGCTCTTTTGCAATTTGACTATCATGCATCAGTTGCAGCTCACAGTTCTACTCTCAGCTGAGGAACTTAAAAAACACTTGACAAGCATATGTTTTTGCTTGTAAAGTACAGTTTTCAGTCTTGGATTAAGTATGCTGTCTCTTGTACGCAGCCATATTTCTTAACATCAGCGGTTTTCAGCATTAGTCTTGCTGTTTTTCCTCCCTGATGCATGATGCAGCCATATTCTGGCTGGAAGTTGGACATGCTTGGATCTGTGAATCAGGATTAGTGTAGGTTATAACATGAAATATTACTATTTGAGAGGCATGTGTATCAAGAATATATAACATCATGGGCACTATCCTTATCCATTTTCAGATGCCTGCCTGTTGATGGAGGACAGCCAGCATTTAGCTGCACAAGATGAGACCTCACCCATTATGTAGATTGAACTCCAGCACAGGAGTGGACTCAGATGAGCAACAAATGGTATCTGAAACAACCCACCACTTGGGCACTCAGCGCAAGGCTGGTCGCAATGGACCACTCTTCTCAGATGCAGAGCAGCAGCACATGGTGGCATGGCTACAGCAGTGTGCAACGCAGGGCATGGTCATCACACGGGAAAACTTCTTGGAAGATCTCCTTCGCATTGCTCAGATGGAGCAACGTGGCAACAGAAGGTGAGCTTGTCTTTTCTTTAAAGGGAATGTTCCAAATTTGAAGTTATTGAGTTAAGCATCACATGATGGGAAATGCTTACTTGTAGCTATTGGTAAGCTTTCTAAGTCCAAAAATGATGCAAAGATGCAAAATTTCGAAGTATATAAAAGTGGGGCCCATTACGTCGTTGTGTGATGGCGTCATGAAATGGGTTTGAAACGACAGCAAAACCTGGTAGCATATGGCAGCCAGACCTAAGGAATACCTCGAAACACACGAAAGCTGACGCCAACCGGCCATTCCCGTCGCGGGGGCTGTGTCGGGGGAGGGGGGGGGGGGGAGGCGGATTAGCGGGTGGGTTATTTGTGGATTTTTTTGTCTTGGTGCTGGCCGTAAGAAAAGCCTTCGTGGACAGTTTGACATGCGCAACATAGTGATCGCCAGCTTTTACGGCAGATGATTAATATCAAAACACGATATGCTGTGCTACTGCTGTTGCTGCTTTGTTGTTGACAACGATTTTGTCAATACTTCATTGTCGACCCATCGCTGCGCGCAGTGCTGTAGTCCCACCTTTCCGTGGTGTGTGTGTGTGGGGGGGGGGGGGGGAGGATTGCGTGCCCCATGGATCCTGCGGGCGGTTGGGGAGGCTTGTAAAGCGCCCCTTCCGGCCAAAGGGGAGGGGCCAGACGAAATGTGCCTCCCGCAAGGGCTCTGACTCGTTCAGTGTAGGGACTAGCAATCCCTCGGCCCCAGCTTTTCAGTCTTATCTGGGTCTCGCCGTACCCCGTTGGATCCGCAGGTAACGATGAAGGGATCCGGGTCACTGAGGGAGTTGCACTGCGGGTCAGTCGGGGCAGCTTACCAACACGTGGCTTTGGCCCGAATTTGTGATCCTGCGGATGCCTCGTGAAGTCTCCACACGAGGAAATCGGCTGGTCAGGCGTCGTGTTTTCGTGACACTGGCTTGGAGGCAAGCAGGCCATGTGATGGGTGATGAGGGGGGAGCTGCCGGGTGCAGTGTCTGCCTCCTGACACCATCAAGGGCCGTACCTCGGTTTGTTACCAGGGCGCCTGGTTAGCCCCTGCGAACCGAGGCACTGGCGCCCGCAGACTCGTGCCCGGCGGCTCTCGCAGCAACTCTTTTGGCACACTGGTCTGCGTATAGCGTGCTGGTGGCCCTGGCGGCTCCTCTCTTTGAAGTGGACCGTCTCTGTCTTGTGCTTCATGGTGGGCGGGGAATCAGCGCGCCGGACATAAACATATACTTATGGATACTATACCTTCAACCAACCCCCAAACTCCGACCGTCGTCCCGTGCCACTGCCCAAATTTCTGGTGGTAAGATCCGCCAAGGTAAATGACCAAGGAAGAACAGTACCGCTCCGACTAAGCCCATTTCAGCGCCAGCAAGCATTTTCAAAGATCGGGACACCCAATGATGTGCTTTCATATACGGATGGAGGCATAGAAGTGCATTTAACAGACGAACGCGAGATCCAGCGCATGCTAAAGACGACCACACTAGTCTACAAAGTATGAGGACAGGGATAGGTTAGGGCGCCCGTATCGGTGCACCCTCACCCCTCTAACAACTACTCCAAGGGTGTGATTACTTGCCGGGACCATCGCGGTGTTAGTGATGAGGATGTTGCTGAGGGCTTGTGTGAGGAAGGGGTGACGGCGGTGATGCGTATCAAGAGGGGAGAGAGAGGAGAGCTGACCGATGCTGATTCGATTATTCTGACATTTTGCTCTGCGAGAGTGCCAGATAGGGTCCGCGTCGGATATAAGTCGGTCCTGTTAGGGTCTATGTACCCGATCCAGTCCGGTGCTACCGATGCCAGACGTATGGTCACTTCACGGACAAGTGCTGGCAAGAAGTAAGATGCGGAAGGCGTGCAGAAATAGGTCACCAACACTAGTGTAAATCAGAAACCGTCAAATGCGTCAACTGTGGTCACGGTCATGTGGCGTCATATCGCAGCTGTCAGTCCTTCTTGTCAGAGAAAGCTGTCCTGAACATCGAAGTGAAGGAAGGCGTCTCGTATCGGGAGGCCCAACGCCGGCACAACGATGCGACCACCACAAGGACATACAAAGACGCCCTTATTAGACCGGCAATACATTTTGCAGAAGTAACACCCGCAACCAACGAAGTATTGAAACTGAGTGGACTTGATAATTTCAAAAGCATGGCTGTAGGCGAGTTTGTACAGCTGATTCTAAGCACACTTGTATCAACTGGACCTGCTGCCCCGTCGTCCCGGAAGTGGGATCCTCCGAAAAAGGATCCACCTGTGGCATTGGGCGTCGCTAGAGAAGCTCAACCTACGTGGTTGGACTCCCTGGTGGAGCTGCCAGAGAACCTGGGACTGGGGTGCGACCCGGGAACGGGGGGATGGATCGCTTTCCAGCGGGGCCGTGGACTTCGCCCCCCCCCCCCATCATCGCATCCCAGCCCAGCCCGTGCTGAAGACACGCCCTCCCGGGGTCCATCTCCCCTCCATCCATACCAGCTACGACGGGATCTGTCGTCGCTGGCACAGGGGCGCTACGAGAGCTGACCCCTTCTGGGTTCTCAGCTAGTGGCCCTGCCGGGAGCGCCGGTCCTCTCGGCTTACGGGAGCCGGACAAGGTTCGGCATCCCCCAGTCGTCACTCCCTCCTGGACCTGCCCTTCTGAAACTGTTGTTCGTCCGGGTTCTCTGGACCTTGGACCTGCAGGGCGCGCCGCCGGGTCGGCTTGTGCACCGCGGACCGGGTCGGCTCCCGCTGTCGACTCCACCCCATTCGCCGGGAGGGTCAATGGGTCCGCCTCCCATTCCTCCACGTGAAGACGGGGTTTCGGGTTAAGCCAACCAGCAGTCCCTGGCAGCAGGTCGTGCAACAAAGCGTGTCCCTCCTTGGCCGACGCCGCCTACGGAGGGTGGAAATCCCAAAGCCTGGCCAAGGGTCCGGGTTAGCTTCACTGAAGAAGAGCGTTGCCAGGGAGATTTGTTTGGTGCGAAATCGTAGGTGAACGTTTAAAGCACATGTGAGCTATACCGATGGATCTAAACCGTACACCCCACATACAAGCATATCTAGCATACCACTGACGTTTTTACAATGGAACATGCGTGGCTTGAGGGCCAGCATGTCGGACCTACATACACTCTTATCTGATCGTAACCCGGTTGTGGCATGCTTACAAGAAACAAAGGTATCTAATGACACTCACCTTGACATCGAATGTTACAGCATCTTTCGTAAGGACGTGAGAACTGACACGATCGCCCATGGTGGGGTGGTGGTTTTAGTTCATCACAGTATACCGTGTTCTCCTGTGAGTCTTAACACTGACCTTCAAGGTGTTGCTGTCGTCGTCCACCTTGGGTCGTTGAGGCTGACTGTTCTATCCACCTCTCTCCCGCTGAGGAAGTACGGGATCCGATATTGCAGTCTATCTTCGATCAGCTTCCATCGCCGTTCTTGTTGCTAGGTGACTTCAACTCCCATAGCCCTTCGTGCAGTCACACAAGCCGCCGAGGCCGACATCTCGAACGTTTGCTGAATTCAAATAATCTTTGTGTTGTTAACACCGGCCGGCATATCCATATATCTCTGCCGTCCAGCACCACTTCAGCCATAGATCTTTCTATCTGCTCTTCGTCCCTTTTCTGTCGGTTGCCTTGGGTCGTTGAGAGCACCACGTGTGAGAGCGACCATTTCCCAATATGGCTTGGGATGAATGCTGGACACCCAGGCAGGTGGCCTTCCTGCTGGAAGCTGCGATGTGCTAACTGGCAAAGGTTTACCGGCGAGTGTCATTAGAATGCAGCCGACCGAGGAGGACAATGCAACACCTCTTACGCATCAAGAGACATCCACAATTGTCGACACTGCAAGGTCTTGCATTCCTTTGACATCACCTGAGCCGCGCAGGATCCCTGTCCCCTGGTGGTCAGAGGACTGTATGGCGGCAATTAGCGGAAACAGGCATTCAAGATTTTTAAGCGTTCTGCAACGACCAACAACCTCATCGCTTTTAAAAAGGCCAGCATTGGCGAAACGCACAATACGCGAGGCAAAGTGTGCATCATGGAGGGAATATGTAAATGGTTAAATCGTCACATCCCACGTAGTGCGGTGTGGCAGCGAGTTAGTCGCATTTCCGGTAGGAGTGTTTCTGCTGCAGTTCTGTTGTTGAAAGTGGCGGGAACCACGATATTGAACACACAGCAAGTTTCCAACAAAATAGGTCTCGCATTTGCAGAAAAGTGCCGACATGGAACATACCACACACGCTTTATTCGTTGCAAGGAACAAAGTGAGAAGACGTCAATCAGTTTTAGAATTCGTGACTCGGAGATTTATGAGTACAACCATTCACTGTCATGGAACTCTGCACTGCTCTTAAGAGAGCTAAGAGTGTATCACCTGAATTGGATAAAGTCCACAATGATATGCTAAATCACCTAAGGGAGTCTCTCCATGCTCTGCTTGAACTTTTCAACTACATATTATTGCATGGTGACTTTCCGGAGTCGTGGCGGGAGGCCATTATAGTCCCGATACAGAAGGCCGGAAAGGATGGTTCCGACCCACTGCACTACCGCCCAATTTCGCTGACTTCAGCCCTATGCAAGGTGCTAGAAAGGATGGTGAGTGGTCGTCTCATGTGGTATCTTGAAACTCACGGCTGTCTTTCCAAAGTGCAATGCGGGTTTCGGAAGAACTGACGCACCATTGACCACTTACCTGTAGGTAAGTGGTCAATGTACCGATTTTAGACAGCTAAACGACTCTTTTAAACAAAGACGTCACACGATAGCCATCTTCTTTGGTGTTGAGGGGGCTTATGATACCGCCTGGCGCCATGGCATTCTAAGCAAAGAACACAAGTGTGGACTCCGAGGTCACATGGCACCCTTCATTGAAAACTTTTTACGTCGTCGATTTTTTCGCGTCCGAGTGGGTGGCGTGCTATCTGATCGTTATGGACAAGAGAACGGTGTTCCTCAAGGGAGCGTCCTTATCGTAACCCTGCTTGCGCCTATGATCAATGATATCCCCGACTGTCTGCCACCTACCATCAGTCGGTCACTGTTTGTGGACGACTTTACCATCTGGTGTGCAGCATCCACAGCAACGTCTGCAGAGAGGCAGCCTCACTTATGCCTGATTCGACTGAGTGGAGCCTAAAGAATGGCTTAGAATTTTCGACCACCAATACTAAGTGCATGCACTTTTGCTCACGGATTAGAGGCTGTAGAGACCCGGAGTTGCGACTTTACAATGCCGCTATTCCAGTGTGTAACGAAATCTGTTTTCTAGGCCCTACCTCTGACCGTCGGCTTACGTTTAAGCAACACTTCAGGACGATTAAGTCTAAGTGTCTTAAGGACATGAACCTCATGAAAGTAATGTTTCGTATGACCTTTGGAGCCGATGGACGCACCCTGTTGAACTTGTATGGGGCTTCAATGCGATCAGTCATCGATTATGTCCCTGTCTACGACAGTGCTCCTACATCTTCGAAGCAGGTTTTGGACACAATCCACCATACATGTGTTCGTATAGCCACTGGGGCGTTTCGTTCGACTTGAACAAGAAACTTGCTGGTTTAAGCGAATGAACCGCCTTTGCCTCTTACGAGACAACGACTTGCTTTGAATTACGCTACAAAGATTTCACAATTTCTTGATCACCCAACCTTTGAGTTCATCTTCTCTCAGACGTTAATCCGTTCTTTCTTGAGGGGGCGACCCACGTCAGCGCGGCCGATGTGTCTGCGCGTCCGGTACTGGCTGGACGAGGCGGATATTACGCTGGATGACCTTACCCCGCACACTTTTCGGGACCCAGCTCCTTGGAGACGTCTGAGTGAAGTGTGATTTGGAACTTTGTCAGCATCATAAAAATGACACTTCACGAGAGTTCCTCAGCTATGCGTTGGAACGGATCTCACAATATGTGAACTCATTACAAATATTTACTGATGGGTCCAAGGGCTCGACAGCAACAGGTTGCGCATTTGTTTGTGGTGATCACACCGTAGGTGTCTGCCTCCCGCATCATATGTCAGTTTTTTCCTCAGAACTGTTGTCAACAAAATCAACAAAATCATGTGATGTGTACAGTAGTCACTGTCCGTATTGTTTGTAACTGGAAATGGGGTGTCGTGCCAAAATTAATATATTTGCGACATTGTCTTATTGTTTGTAACTGGAAATGGGGTGTCGTTCCAAAATTAATATATTTGCGACATTGTCTTATTGTTTGTAACTGGAAATGTGGTGTGATGCGAAAGTTCATGAATTTGTAACGTTGCCATGAATTGACTGTCAAATCACTGCTATGGCTATGGTAAAGATGGTTAGGTTGGGCTACCAAGAATTGTTTTGCTAAGGATTATTCATGCAATGAATAGTTAACCCTGATATAACCATTGTGGTGCAGCAACATTATTGCCGTAGACAGTCCTTTGGCATCGTTAAATAAATATGTACCAGTCGTTCACAAATTATAGGCTGCTATCTCATAGGCTTGGCATAGAGTACTCAACCAATGAAACAACACAACACAGTATGAAAAGATGGGTCAGACGTGCGCTCTTGTATTGACTTCCTGTCTGACATATCACTGACCAAAAACACATGATGCAATATAAAAATCACTTTCAGCAAAGCAAACAACCAATAGGTGGCGGCACTTGCTCAGCCAACTTCGAGAATCCAGAAAATGCAGGTGAGAAAGATGCAAACACATCTTTCACTTCTATGGTCATGCAACATGCTGCAGCCATCAGACTGCTTTATTAAAAAATAACAGGAAAATTTTAGATGTGGTGAAATGACGCTGCAAACATGCTGACCTTGCACAAGGCTGGAGACATGACAAGTGCATGTAGTTATGGTTGAATGGGCGAAGTGCAAGGAAGTGATGAAGCTGCCAGTGCATACAAGGCCCATGATAAACATATGATAGTGCTGTCCAAGACACGAACAGCAATACGTTTCCACCTTTCTCAGCGCCCAGAATGTCACACAAGTTGCAGTGACTATGACATTGATTATCAGGAGCAATGCTCGCCTGCATACGAGACTTGTGAAGACGGTACAATGCGCATCAGTATATATATATATATATATATATATATATATATATATATATATATATAATTACCGTACAGTTTCCGTAATGTCATAATGCCTTGCTAACCCATAAACCCGTGCAATGTTGTGCTCCCGTACACAAGGCGCCAACCGAGCTTTCTGTAATAGATACGTTAGTAGAAGAAAAAAAACTCCAGCAGGAGAAAAAAGACGGATGTTCCGTCGCGTATTCTTTCTTATAACTTCGGGAGAGTGCCCATTTGTTTGGGTGCCGTCCTTTTTTACAGATAGTGGCGTTCTTTTTTACAACATTGACCTGTGGCCTAAAAAAAGGAAAAATGGCCCGTTCACGACGAGTGTCACACAACCTGAAATTGCTCACGCATGTGTTCGCGACACGCATTCAGCAGTAAAATCTTACTAACAGGCGGTCATCTTCCGCGAACGGTACCACATGTGCAGTATCATCGCCTTTGCGAATGTATCAGCGGCCATGTCGTTTTGACCACAGAAAAACAGCCTGTGATATCACGGGAATCTAATGGCTTTTCTATGGCGTCATGAATCAGGAGGCGGTTTTGAAATAGGCTCTAAATAAACACTTTCGTACTTTGCGAGCGTGTAACTTAGAAACCAGACCGTGTTGGGTCTTAAAAGGGGACTGTGAACTGCATCAAACTCTGTGAACTGCATCAAAAGGTCCTCAAGATGGCTATTTCAGTTCAAAATATCATACAAATGTGGAACATTCCCTTTTAAAGTATGTGTGACAGTGGACATATCTTGTACTGGTGTTTTGTGAGAATATCCCTTACCTACAATGTGATTGGCTATCTTCCTCCCTAAAAAAGCTGAGCCACCGACGTTCACTCACCCGGTCCCGTATCCGCAGCCACCGGGAAGTGGAGCCGTTCGTGGACGCCTTCCAGTCTCGTTTCACGCGCGAGCTGCGGATCGGCTCGAACAGCTCTGTGCTGCCGTCGACCGGCGCGCGGCGCGTGCTGGCGCCGGCCGCTTGGTACCTCTCCGTCAGCGGCGCGCTGCAGCGGCTCTACCCTGGCGTGTCCTTTGCCGACCCGCGGCGCGTGCTCTTCCTGGGCGAGCTGAACGTCTGGCTGGACGTGGCGAGCGCGTCGGTGCGCGGCCTGCGCTCCCCGGCCGCTGCCGCCGCCACGTCCGCCGCCGACAACGCGGCGTACCTGCTGACCGTGTCGGCAACTGGCGAGCGCGGCCCGGCCATGCTGGTCACGCCCAGCAGCGGCCTGGTACGCGACGACATGGACCCCGCCGAGTCCTGCTTCCGGCAGACCACGCGCAACGGTGGGTGCCGGCCGGCGACCGTTGGTGGTGTGACGGCGACAGTTTGGTGAAGGGCTCGGCGACCTGCGGTGGAGGAGCGGGCGGGCCATCGCACATGTGGGCATGTTGGAGGACACGTTGTATGAGTGACATCGGATATGCCAGTCTGATGTGCATGCTTAAGAGCTTAGTTAGGAATCATTGCGTCGATATCGGTATCATGTGGACCGAACATGGTGACATCTGCCGCACGCTCTTGATCAGCCCGATATTTTGTCGCAAGGGTACTGAGCTGTGTTATTGTATCGCCATGTCAAGTTTGCCGCTGTGCTCTCACTTTGATGACTGTGATACTATTTGTATGCTAAGAATGAAGAAGAATCCCTCCGTGGCATGATAGAATAACATGATAGGCAACGATTTGGAACGTTTCATCTGTCTGCCTGTGTGACGTTCTGTCAGTCTGCGTCATTCAACAGATGGCGAGATGCAATGCAGTCCAGCAAACACTCGCACAACTATTTATTTTTACACAGGCGTAAAGAGTACGTTAACAAGTCTTTGCCATGTCTTTAAAAACAAAGCATGGGTGCTGCCCGCGATAGCCTATTGGTTAGATAATGTCATTAACATACACGCTGGCAGCGCTGCGCGCGGCAGTAGTTTTCATTTTGCGTCGCCCCGTGAAACATCACTGAGCACTCACGGGTTTTAAAAATGGCCGTTCCTGCGGGCTTTGTGTGTGTGTGTGTGTGTGTGTGTGTGTGTGTGTGTGTGTGTGTGTGTGTGTGTGTGTGTGTGTGTGTGTGTGTGTGTGTGTGTGTGTGTGTGTGCGCTCGCGCGCGGGCGGGTGGGCGTGCGGGCGGGCGGGCGGGCGTGCGTGCGGGCGTGTGTTTAGAGTGATGGGCGTGTGTTTAGAGTGATCTCGAATCCCCAGGCTCGGTGAACGGAAGGTTGATCTGGCGACCGAAGCCAAGGATGTGTCATGTGAGTTGGTTACTGAACTGAGTTGGTTACTGAAGGGCCCGTTTGAGGTCGGACCACGTCCCTTCACTCGTTTGAGGTCAGACCCCCCCCCCCCCTGCACTCGGCGCCGCCTGCCCTGACCCGCACGGGGGTCACCCCGCGGCGTGAGGATCACTCGCCTGTGCTGGGTGTCATTTCCTACGCCGGGACGCGTCGAGGAAAACCACACTGAAGGTCAACCAAAGACACTACCCTCCTGCTGCGCAGGTGTGGCACCGCCCAAGCTCTGATATGCCCGAAGACCTGTCACGGGTGTCCCACATGTGCCTCCCTGTGCAGCCGCGCAGAGCGGTGCCGTGATTAGCCTCGGGGGGGGTGCAGCATGGTGCGCCGCTCGGTCGTGTGACCCCGTGACGGCCCATCGGCAGGCAACATCACGCCTGCCGCGCTTCTTAGGTACGTGGCCAAGGTGCTGGACTCTCACCTGATGACGCGCCAGGTGGCGCGGCCCGTGCTCCTCTACGTGGATGGCCTGCACCATCACGCCAGCGTGACGCTCTCCGAGTTCTGCCAGGACCGCGGCATCGTGGTGGTAGGCCTGCCGCCGGCCGGCCAGGCGCGCAACCCGGCGGTGACGGCCTTCGCGGGCCAGCTGGCTGCCGGCGTCAGTCGCCTGGCCGAGTCGGTGCGGCGCGGCCGGCGCGCCGGGCCGCGCGGGGCCGTCACCACCTCTTTGAGCGCGCTGCGGGCAGGTATTGCCGAGGCCACGGCGCCGTCCTGCCAGGAGACCATCGCACAGGCCGTCACGTGAGTCGAGCTGGCTTTAGTGGCGCTCGCGTGCTGCGGTGGGGTTTGTGTTCCAGCGATGAACACATTTAGTTTCTGAAAACTGTATTTTGGATATTGGGAAGCTTGTAACAAGTTTGGTTTTGTTGCATCTGTGCAAACTTTGGGTCATTAGAATTGGGCGTGACGGGTCAGGGGCCCGTGCAGTCCAAGATGTAACGAGGGCTGTCGGCCTCCTGATGCCATCATTAAGCTCCTAAATACCTGAAGTCGGTCAAGCGACCGCGGTCCACACCACCTGGGACTACGAGCGGTTTCGACGATTCTACAATGAGCTGGGAACGCCGTGCTGCCGCTGAAGATGTGCTCTGATGCCATCAGAAAATGCGGACCGACGAATTCAGGATCGGATTGTAGCACGCCTGTCACCTATATCTAACGGGTTGAAATTGTCATTGGTGAAGCCGTACGATATATGCCGTCATTATGATGTTCCTCTTTAGATTCCCGAACGTGGGAGATCTTCCTTCGCCGCAGACCTCGAGCCTGCCCTTCCGGTAATAAGATTGTCGGTGATCACCGCTTTCGAACCGTGTTGATTGCGATTTAAATCTTCTGAGCGACGCGTTGGCTCAAACGACGAAGGACGTACACTGTGTCGTCGGTGGGCTGTTCTGATCGTGCATGCTCCCGGCCCCCTATTCTGTAACGAACTTCGGTACGTTATTTCTGTATAAGAGTATCCTAAGTTCGTATAATTTCGAAGACTACCGAATCGAGGGCAACAAAACTGTGATACGATGGCATCATGCCGAAGGCGACGAACGGATTTCATGCGATCAATCATAGTCATTTTGTATTCAGCTGGATCATGTTCTAACTCTGCAACCTTGTGTCCTTTCAAATCTTATCGACCGGTGGAGCTTGGGCCCTGTGGCTGGAGAGCTTCTGGTCGCATCTTTGCATCACACTACCCCACCCCGGTTCCTAACTTGTTTCCCTTACCTTCACATCATCACCCCCCGTATCTTCCATGGCAACGCGAGGAGCGTATTAAACCACCAAAATGTGTTGACACGTCGTCTGGACAATACGATACACTATGTCCCGGTGTGTATTATGTCTTATAGTGCATTGTGTCACTACACCATACACTATGTATTGTGTAGTGACACAATACTCTATGTACATTATATGTGTACAGTAGAGGTGCTGCTTGGATTCCAAACTTTCAAAAATTGTGTAGTCGGAATTGGAAATTGGCCGGACACGGACAGAAACCTTGGGTTTTTTGGGTTGATTATTTGTTTGTTTGTTGTTTGTTTTTTGGCAGCCGATTTCACTTTGGCGTGTGGCAGTTTAACACCCATACACTTCGCTTATCCTACGATCCACGAGTGGTGGCTGGGGTTATTGGTTGTAGGTGGTAGTTATTTGATACACAGATTTTAAATGTTTGGACACCTTGATTATTTTGGATACTTTGAGCGGACAGTTGGCCTTTCCTTGGCCTGCGGATCGGACGTTGGGCAAGAAATTCCAGAAAACGGCACCTCTGATGTACAATGCACTTTGCAAAGTATCGTTGTGTACCAGTGTGTGTTCTAGCGGCCATATTTCTCGGTAATAACGTGTTGAACGCAATATAAGCATGACTTGCACAAATATCAAACGTAAATTTTCGAGATCCAAGCACTAGATAAGCCACAGGGCTACCTAAAGCGGAACCTAGAGAAACAAAATAATATTTTGTACCGTTTTGTATAGGCGCTAGTCTCGTCTTCCTCCTCCCTAAATTCTCAGAATTGATGAAATGCTCTTTGTTAAACGTCACTCATTCATTAGGTGCTAGGAACAACAGTCGCCTTAGCTGACGATGTCCGTGTCTGTTTTTTTTTAGGTCTAGCGGGCTCTACCCCTGGGCGGAGTCGGTGGTGGAAGCCTGCGAACGTGCCGAGGAACCCTCGGTGACGCTTGAAGTCACACTGGAACCAGCCTCCTCCTCACCGCCTCCCCTCGACCCGCCGTCTGTCAAGGAACTAGGAGTTGCAGTTCCCCCTGCGGGTTTGACAATGGAGGAGATCATTCAGATCCTGCTTGACGAGACGAAACATTACAAAGCTCTCGCCTCGGTGCCCCTCGGTAGGAAAGAGGATGTCGGTTATTTGGTTTCAGATGAGCGTAACATGGAGCGTCGAGTCCGCGGTCAGCGCTCGCGTTTCCAGGATGATGTTGGCAAGTGGCGATACTCCCTCTCCCCGAAGTTGACGTACGTCATGGACCAGTCGGGGGTGCGGCGTGTCATGAAGAGCGACCCCGGCGTGTACTGCGTGCGAAGTCAGGTGGACGGAATCCAGGTGTGGCTGCCGATGACGCCCCAGCCTTCCGACGAGTCCACCGTCGTGGAACTGCAGCGCAATTACAGCACGCTGGCACGCGACTCGTCTTACAAGCGGAAAGTGACGTGGATAAATGCGTGCTACCCGGGGCCGGCCCTGACCCCCGCAGTCGCCTGGTATGAGTATATGGGCCGCTGGCCGGACGCCAGCGGGCGGGGCAATGCCCCGACAACGGAGCAGCCCAGAGCTGGTGGGCGGCGCGTCCCGACCGAGACCGCCCCCGCGGGGGACGACCCGGACGAGGCACCGCTCGAGGCGATGGAGGTCAGCTCCGAGTCGGCATTGTCCGACGCGGCGGAGGTAGGCATTCCGATACCTCCCACCGGCCTGCGAATGGATGAAGTGTTCAAGCTTCTTCTTGGTGAGTCGGAATCGCCACAGGTTCTCGACGCAGTGCCCCGCGACAAGGGTGTGAACGTGGCGTACCTGATCGCGAATGAGAGTAACGTGGAACGGCGAAAGAATGGCCAAAAGTCCAGGTTCTTTGTCGAGGAGGATACAGCCTGGAAGTGCGGGTCGTCTCCCAAGACTTTGTATCTCATGGATGACCAGGGACTCCGATCCGTTTCGAAAAATAGGGATGGCATGTACTGCGTTAAGAAGAAATTGGCAGGAAGGATACAGGAGACACCGCTGGACCCACAGCCCACAGACGATTCTCAAATTTTTGAACTGCAACGGAATTACAGTACGCTGGTGGGGGACGTGATGCACGTGAGGAAGGTAACGTGGATAAACTCCTCCTCGGTACCGGCTGTCGCCCTCTACGAGTTCATGGAGCGTAACCCGGACGACAGCGTGAACCTGAGGACTTGGGCCAAGTCTGAGCCGCGCTTCAATGCGCTCTTTCCCAGGGTGGAGACATTGCCAGTGGAAATGGGTTCAGATCTGTCTGAGTCCATTGAGGTTTCTGACGAGGACATCATGCTTGCTCAGCCCGAGTATTCTTCCTCGCCCGCGAAAGACCTGGGGTTTCCGATTCCTCCGTGTGGCCTGGAAACTGCTGAGGTGGTGAGGATCCTCCTCGACGACACCAAACCGTGTCAAATCCTCGAGGCTGTGCCCCGCGGCAAGAAGGAGAACATGGCTTACCTGGTGTCGAACCAGCATAACGTCAAGCGCCGAACCAGCGGCTATAAATCGCTGTTTTGGGACGACGCCGGGGCTTGGACAAAAGCTTCATCGCCTAAGACACTATACGTCATGCATGAGGAGGGTCTGCAAACGGTCATACGGAACCGAGCTAGCCTGTTCTGTGTGAAAAAGCGAGTCAGAGGGAAGACGCTGTGGAAGCCGTTAAACCCGCAGCCGTCCGAGGAGTCCGTCGTGGAAGTGCAGCGAAACTATGGTGCGCTGGCGCGCGACACTTCCTACAAAAGGAGAGTGACGTGGATAAACACGTGTCATGCAGACCCCGCCTCAGCGCCAGCGGTCGCCTTGTTCGAGTACACCGGCTGCTGGCCAGGCTTCTTTCGCCACGGGAACTCTCGGGGCAAGTCTGGCCCCTACGTCAGAACGAAGCCGGCAGTGGTGGCGCGCAGTGCCAGTCTGGCCTTGGAGTCGTCGGTTGCCGAGCTTCAGCGACTGAGCCCCGGCTCCGGGGACTAAGCAAGCGGCCATGCTCCAGGCCCGTCGAACGATGCCGGCATGCTATGTAACGTTTGTGAATCAGCACACACTTGTGCAAAGGCTGTGAACCATGCCGACTGGGTAGGACCCATTGTCATTCTATGCATGCACGAAATACGTGAATGTGCGCAAATATTGGCCTGTTGACTGCTGGAGCGGGATTTCACGCCAATAGCGCTGCCCGCTGCGCTGCTCCGCTTCAGATTTGTTTCGAACAAGAAACGGAACTCTCTGCACGGCTCTCTCGCGCACGGGGACAGGCGCACTCTGAACGCCCCACACTGCGCTCTGAAGAGCTAGTCGGCACAAGCGTATAGTGTGGGTGCTGAAATGCGCCAAATCTGACCGAGCATTTGGCACGCTGGCGTGCTGGTGGCGTCAACAGCTCGCTGCCAGCGGGCGTGAGCTGGGCGCCTTCCACTACAGGGCCCACCCGACCGCGGCTGCAGGTACGCAGCGTGGTACCTGCCGACACTGGTGCGGCTGGTGTCAGTGAATGTCACGGTATACTGGGCTTGGCATGACTGAACGTGTTGTGTGTTGGGTTGATGGATTCAGTTTGCATCGTCTCATTTTGAGAGAATCAGTCGGCGTCTCGTCACGTATGAACGCATTCCGTAGCGTGGCGCAGTGCTGTGTTGACTGCATGTGTTGTACAGCGTATGGCTCCGATTGCGGGCGCGTTTACGAAGTCTTTTGACAGACTTTTGTGTTCCCAATAGCGCTTTGATGTATTTTATTTTTGACAGCAGCCGTTTCAGCAGCACTATCTCGTAGCATCACCCCGTTGCTCAGTCTGGCGGCCTCCCCTGTATTGGGAGGACTGCGAGCTGTTTCGTGCCGAATGAGACGTCAAGCCGCCTCTGAACGATCGTCATTTTGTGTAACCTCAGCCTGGGAGTATAGCACGCGTCGCGCCTTTGGTTGTCGCCCGTCGCAGTTGCAATATTGGAATGCCTTTGACGTGTTGGTCATGTTCTGTTCGCAGAGTCAGCCCGCAGCACTGAGCAACGAAGACGCGTTATACTAAGCGATTGATGCGTACGATCAGCCTTCAAAAGTGCTCCATCAAACGCATACCATCAGACGTGCGAAACGGGCCAATTTGGGACGATTATTCGCGATGCGCCGATGCAGTCTATTCTGATCTCGTATGGTGCCTCGCGATGACGCTGTGTTCTTATCTTGCTTCGTGGTGATCGCGCTCGAGGCCATGAAAAGAACGCTTCGTTTGTGTGGTTGATGGAACTCGGGTCTGTCTCCAGCCACAACAGGAACATTTTACAAACATTTTGTGGCTTCGCAGTGTGATGATAAATATATTTTGGTATCTGAATATAGCTATGTTTGTGTTTGTCCACTTAAGTAACCACGCGCCAGACGGAACTGCCAGCCTTGGGAAACGCTGGTCTTCTCAGAAGCGCCGTTGGAGCGTCCGCGATGTCCATCCCCGTTGTCTCGCGGCTTTGCGCCCGTTGCCTTTAGTTCTGGGTCTGAGACGAGTCGACGGCTATGGCCAGCTTGCGAGTCCCCAGGATTTGTTCATCCGGGCGGACGCGACTCGTGTGAGGACGGTTTCAGTTACAGTTGGCATCCTCCGGGGCACTCAAACTATTCGCAGCTCCGTGTAGTGTTGAAATCGCTTGGATGCTTTAGGGCAAGAACAAATAGATCTTGTGCCTGATCACCCCATATAGAGCCGGTCATGGCAGACAATTGGGTGCAAATGACCTTTTCGGACAAACATCCGGGTGACTATCACAAATGCAGCTTCTTGGGAACTTTGTCACTGGGTATGGCGCCCAAGCTTTTCAAGGGCATGGTTACATCCAAGGAAGTACGCGTCCATGGCCAGCGCAGGCACAAAGCGAGCGGGCTGCTTTGGCAGGCTGGCCTTAGGTTTGGATTGTCATATTTGACACAAAACTTGGGGCATGGATGCTTCGAAAGCTAGAAACGTGAGGATGCAGCCATTACAACTTATCAGTGGCTGGGGATGGGGAGAATTATTCAGAACATATTAATTTATGTCTTCTCAGACACAGGGGACAATGTAGAATTCCCAAAGCTGTGGCCCGCGAAAGTTCCGAACTTCACGCGCGACTTCCCCATCCCCACATCGCTTTCCAGTGGCTTAGGCTGACCTTAATTCGGTTATCATGCCATCTGCAGCTCGTCGACTAATGATGGACAAGTATGGTGCACTTAATGTAAAATCAGTAACACCTAAGTTAAGTGAACTGTTGATAAGTGTCCCATATATTTATTTTGCTCTGATTTACCAAACCGTATTGCCATAAGTTAAAGCGGGTTAATATAAATTAGTGGCGACATTCTTTGTTTTTGTTCCCGCCCGATTCTCTTTTATTCGGACCTTTTGCATGATATGTTTTTGCAGTTTTGACCGTTTGATAAACTTTTTGGCAATTTGTTGTTAGGTTATCAATAAATAGTGATAACTTATGCAATATGTATGTAAAAAAATCGCTGAAAGGGAACAGTGAGCACGTTTTATCTTCTATTATGTTCATCTACACATGCTGCATTGTGGGTAACGCTTAGCGTCAACATTCGGCTGTTTGCCGCTTGCGGGGCTAGGTGCATCAAATATGTGGTGAGAATGTCTGCCCCCATTTTGAAGTGGAAAAGGATTGGAAATGCCAGTGGCCCATGTCCAAGGCCACGACATGGGCATCGGGCTGTTGCAATCAAAGACCTCATGGTGGTTTTTGGTGGAGGAAATGAGGGAATTGTGGACGAACTCCATGTTTACAACACAGGTAAGCTCAAAATAGCTTTGCTCATTGGGCGAATTGGTCCTAATTGCCATTTTAAAGAATTATACCGTACGTCTCATGATGCTTCTACTTGTGCAAAGTGCCTTGCCATGGGCAGTGTCGTAGGGATATTGTTATCTTTCTTTACTATGTTGCCCTGCTTTCCAGTTCCATTCCGGTATTCTAGAAGGGTTAAAAGCACACTGCACTTACAATCTGATATTTTGCATCCATTTTCCGTAAAATGTTGTTTTTTTAATGACATTGAACTCTGCTGATGGGTACCGTAAGTTTGCGGCTTTTGTGCCACCACAATGTCTGGTGTGTAGTTGGTGGCAGCTGGTTTTGTTGTTAAGTACAAGAAGGCGAAGCTGGTCTGGATAAAAGCTTTTGCCTCGCTTGCCATGTTTGGTTCTGGCATTCTAATTTCATCACTGAGTTAATTGCATTGGTGTACTGCATGAGTTGAATGAGCAGCTGCGTGCAAGACGAGACCAAGCAGTGTTGCAGCATTCATATATTTTGACATTGTTGGAACCTCAGGTAAATGTCATACTTTTGTTCATCAGTCTGTGATTGCCCATATGTATTGTCAAGTTTCAGCACTTCCATGCATTTTTAAGGTTTGACTTGATTGGTGTCCTAAGGTAATAAAAACCTTTATCAGCAATTTGTGTCTAAATAATATTCCAAGACCTGCAAAGTATCATTTAATGCCCATGGCCTCGTTCCACTTAGATTTCATCTAGTTCTACCTTGTTTTGCAGGCTGGCTGCTTGCCATCCGTGCTTATCACTTTGCAATTAGAGCCTAGCTATAATGCACCAAGATATATGTAATTGGTAACCCATATTGTATATGTCTTATTCTTCACAGAATGTATAATGAGGGTGGTGTAAGAATTCCCTGTATTTGTAATAAAAAGGTCCCATATGATGCGAGTCCAGAGAAAAGGAATGTTAACCCTCTTAATCAACCAAATGAAAATAAGGATTTGTTAAGGAGAAAACTCAGCATTTTTGGCAGAAGTCATGGTGATATGTATCTGCTTGCTCTGCATTCAGCATTGTTGGTGAGACTATAGGTGCCCTATGTGCAGCACCTGATTTATACTGAGACTGTTCCTGTGATAAGGCCCCACATTAGAAGACTGCAGCCTACTTAGCAAAGTGGGGACTCAGGGACATCTTTGGGGACTAGTAGTGATGCTTGTGGCAAGCTTGAATTGCATGAGAATGAAGGATACAGAAGGTGATGAATAATTTTTGGGTCACTTTCTTGTTCAATTCTGCTCAGGGCTTACTTCACAACAATTATATCTGAAGAACAGCCAGAGGTTTTCGTAGTCACTTTGCGCAGGGTTCATGCAGGGAACTAGCACTTGCAAATATGTTTATATCTTCTAACTAGTGATGGTACAAACATGTAGCATATCCTGCAGGTTATGAACTAGGTGATGCTGGCATGTTTGGGTCATTTTTGGACTGGCTGGGCTGGGCTTAAACATACAGTATGCACAACTAAGTACAGCTAGATAGAGGTTAGCAACCAGGTTAAATTAAGTTTGTAATGAAACAGGGAGGCCAGGGAGCACTGGCTAACCCCAGTTGTGATGAGGCTTTCATCAATGATATGCCGACATATCGGAACAATCTGTTTGAAAATAAGATCTGTCAACTTTTTGTGATGCCCCTGTTTCTTTGCCACTGAAAACCTTGATAAATGGTAATGCTTTGATTTGTGTTATGCTTTATGCTTGATTATGGTAATGCTTTGAGCCTCACCCTGATAAGGCAGGAGGAGGGTAATATGTTGTTTCCCAACCTCAGGGTTTTTAGAGAATGTCTCCACATGTTTTGTAATCATGCTCAAATTTTTGTTAACCAACAGTGCATAGATGGGGATTTTGGACGAAAAACATGTCTCAGTTATTTGTGGTCTCGGAGCAGTTACAATTTCCGAGAAATACTGCACGGCGATCCGCGGCCGGCGGCAACCAACGAAGCCGCCGAGGGCGCGCGGCGGGCCCACACTGCCACCTTAAGGCTGCTCCGCATCGTAGATATGTGCTCAAAACACATGAGATTATATGTTAGGGTGTTCAAAATTAAGCAAAGAACATGTCTGTGTAAGTTTCATGTCACTATGTGGCTTAGTGTCATAAATATGGGCATGTAAAGCCGAAAAGTGCGATTTTCGGGACAACTCAGCCTTTTAGCTGGCATAATGGGGATCAGTTATTGACCTGACATCGTACAATTTATTACCGATCGCAAGATCTCGCTGATACCAATCCACTGTTCTCTGCCAGCCTCTATCGTTTTTAATTTGGGGTTGGCAGGGGTTGCATGGCCTCCTTCCTCCCTTTAGCCCCTATCAGTCCGCATTTAGAAAAAGGCAAATCAAGGCGAGGGTTGAAAACGGACTACAAATTGGAGGTGTGCTCCCACACTATAAAAACTGTCTCCCATTCCACATCTTATCCATGGGTTTACCCATACCCACTGTAGTGGGTTTCCAAGGATGTGTCACATGAATGAATACCAGTCACTGTGACAAGCAAGTTCTCAATAGTCGTGATGCCCTACATGTGCTGCTCAAGAATTTGTACTTTCTGTTCATCGATCCTAGTTCCCAATCAACTTATTCTTTAAACCACCTTTGTGGACTATAAACCTAATCGACCTTATTCCTTACAGACAAATTTGGGTACTGGTATCAAGTACTGGTATCAAGAGTAGCAAATCAAATTCTGTCAATGGTGACGCCAGTGAACGGACTTACACTGTAAATGTGTACTGGGTAATTGTACAGGCGTATTGGTTTCCAGTGTGTTAGGTCTGGCATGACAATCTAAGTGAGACATGTTGTGACCTCGTGCTCCTGGCGGCAGCAACAAACCAATGGTTCGTGCCACCTGTGAAGGGGGACATCCCTCCAGGATGTGCAGCATATGGCTTCGTCGTAGATGGGACCAGAATTCTCGTCTTCGGGGGCATGGTTGAGTATGGCAAATACTCAAATGAAATATATGAACTACAGGTGAGTTTTTGAATAGCGCCACTCGTTGCGTGCCGCGCCAGGCGTCCTACTGGTGTTCAAGCCGCATCTTGCACATGATTGGCATAGACGGAATGTGTGGCTGGATTAAGAGTACCTGGCCATGACGAAATGTGTGGCGGGAATTAGGGTACCCACCATATGAATCACGATGGAAGCAGCAGCATCTCTGTGGTTTTTTTCAAAAGAATGATTTGGTGTACCTTTTTCCTTTAACAAGTTAGTTATGTCCATGATCTCAAACCGTTGGATGTGTAATGCAAGCAAGCATTCCCAGGCCTACATAAAAACGGTGCTCGCTGCTTTTGCATACTGTTATTGGTTGAATTAGTCTATTAAGTCAAGTCAGCTGAAGCTGATTCATCAACTGGCTTTGATTGTTCGTACAAGCTGTATGTTCGTATTCCAGAGTGCAACTTTTGACGTGCAACTTTTGACTTCTCTTGACGCGTGTGTGTATGTGTGTGCGTGTGTGTGTGCGTGCGTGTGCGTGTGCGTCTGCGTGTGCGTGTGTGATTCGGTCAGAAGTCTTCAATCAGTGCACTTTGGCAGTCACCAGCATTGGTACAAAGAGCTTGGCAGTGCCAGCCTGATCTTCATCTTCATCCTCACATTGGATTCCGGGCCCATTGTGCACTGACGTCCCTTGTTGGCACCCTTGTCAAAGTGGATTAGGTCTGACAGAAATACTTCAAGTTTCCTCTATCTTGATACGGGTATGTAATTTGTATTGCTGAGAGGCTGTAAGTGCTTAGTAGTCAGCCCTTCGAACTCTCACGCGTGGGCCCCGGGTTCGAATCCCCGTTCGGCCATGGATCCCCCAAGCGTATCATAATGGAGGCATCACAGCAACTTGCCTGGTACTCGGTTCAGTCATGACTAGTACTTGGTATAATTCGCATGTTGTAAAGCGAATGAAAAACATGAATAAGGAGAATATGCTGCCAGTTTCTACATGTTGTGTTTAACTAAACACGAGGCGTTGATAGGCTGATTGCCGGTAGCTGTCCGTGTGCGGTTGATGAGGCCGGCTGTGTGTTGTGACGGCGTGGCGTGCTGCCGCTGGCGTCAGGCGAGCCGCTGGGAGTGGAAGCGGATCCGGGCGCGGCCGCCGCGCAACGGTCCGCCGCCGTGCCCGCGGCTCGGACACAGCTTCACACTGATCGGCAACAAGGCCTACCTGTTCGGCGGACTGGCCAACGAGAGTGACGACCCCAAGAACAACATCCCGCGGTGGGTGCGGCGCGCGACGGCGGCATCAGCTGGCACGCAACCCCAGTCTTGATACGGAGAGGGGGAGGGGCGGCGGGCGGGCACGGCGTGCTGAGGGCATGACGTGTGGTGGGCTATGTCGACGCTGTGTGTCATGTCCCAGCGAGCGACTGCCATGTTGGCGGCGGGGGCGAATGTTGTTGGTCGCCACCAGATTTCGCCCATAACTCTGCCCATTGCGGTCTCGCGTATAACACATTGCTGCGCTGCTCCGCGAGTGGGCTTCTCTCAGAGCTCCCACCCGCTGCTCCGCCAGTGGGCTTCTCTCATAGCTCCCACCCGCTGCTCCTCCAGTGGGCTTCTCTCATAGCTCCCACCCGCTGCTCCGCCAGTGGGCTTCTCTCATAGCTCCCTGCCGCTGCTCCGCCAGTGGGCTTCCCTCAGAGCTCCACAACCGCTGCTCCGCCAGTGGCGTTCCCTCAGAGCTCCACAACCGCTGCTCCGCCAGTGGGCTTCTCTCAGAGCTCCACACCCGCTGCTCCGCCAGTGGGCTTCTCTCAGAGCTCCACACCCGCTGCTCCGCCAGTAGCGTTTCCTCAGAGCTCCCCACACAGCACTGTCTAGCCTATCCAGGCCTTCCTCCCTCAGTCCACCCCCTGACGGGCCTGTCGCGTGTGGGCGCTACATGGCACGACGCATCTGACGTCTGTCGTCACTGACCCACTGTCGGCCCGTGCCTGACAGGTACCTGAACGACCTGTACACGCTGGAGCTGCGGCCGGGCAGCAGCTCGCTCACCTGGGACATTCCGCAGACGTACGGCCAGCCGCCGCCGCCCCGCGAGTCGCACACCGGCATCGCCTACACCAACGCCAAGCGCGGCGCCGCGCAGCTCATCATCTACGGAGGTCGGCGGGCTGGGGTTGCCGTGGAGACGCTCGTGTATAGGCTGTGTGGGCACCGTCCAGTGTTGGCATGAATGGTGATATTGGTTCTTCTGTGATCTGCGGAAGCTTTTTGCTTTTGTGGTCCCAGGGCAGACTTCTGCCGGAGGTTTTTCTGTAGGTGTCGGTTGTGGAGAATGCGGACCATTATACAGCATTGGATCTCCTGAATAGGCACGGTTGCCCCACACTTAACGATGTACTGCACACGCCCATGACCGTGCCACACGCCGACCCGGGCTGACATTGCGAGGTCAGAGGCCGTGGTCTGACACGGCGCCGCACGCCCCCAGGCATGAGCGGCTGCCGGCTGGGCGACCTCTGGCTGCTGGACGTGGACTCGATGAGCTGGACACGGCCACAGGTGGGCGGCGTGGCGCCGCTGCCGCGCTCGCTGCACACCACGCAGCTGATCGGGCACCGCATGTTCGTGTTCGGCGGCTGGGTGCCGCTCGTCGTCGACGCCGACGTCAGGGTGGCCACGCACGAGAAGGAGTGGAAGTGCACCAACACGCTCGCCTCGCTCAATCTTGGTGAGATGCTGTGGTCCCACTCTGTGGTCAATCGGCCGTGCCGCCGTGGGGAGGCAAGGGATATGGGACAGTGTGGCGTCGCAGAGGTGTTCCGTGTTAGCACGGACCACTTCCAGGCATCGGTCAGGTCCAGACAACAGTCGTCAATGGTTTGGCTTATTGTGGGAATGCGTTGCAGACTGGGTCCGTTGTGGCGGACTTTGTGGAGCGCGCTGTTCAGTTTATCGACTCGTTGAGGGTGTCGGGACTGGTCGGTCTGCATGTGGATAGTTGATCTGTTTATCAAGGCGATTGTTGAAAGCTGGCGACCGCTTGCCGGCCCCGGGCGGCATGACCGCGTCTGGTGAGCCCGAGCCCGCTGCTGAGCAAACGTGGCCGGCGCGGCAGAGACGACCGAGTGGGAGCCGCTGGCGATGGAGGCGTTCGAGGACGCGATTCCCCGGGCGCGGGCCGGCCACTGCGCCGTCACCATCCACTCGCGCATGTACATCTGGTCGGGCCGCGACGGCTACAGGAAGGCCTGGAACAACCAGGTGAGTGCCGGCGTCGCGACCTCGTCCTGTGCTCGGCGCGACCGACGCCGCGCCCCGGGTCAGGGCCGCCGCGTGATGCCGTCACGTGCCCGGCAGGATGCTGCAGCGCCGCAGCTCTTGGTAACAGCATGCCTGCGACGTCATTGTTGCGATGATATTGGATATTGCGACGAGCCTGGAATTCGTGCTGGGTGCGTTTTTCGCAGCGTGGAGGCGTGGCTATCAGTGGGCGCGTGACTTGTTGACGCAGTGGCGCACCTCCTCTTGGGCAGGTGTGTTGCAAGGACCTGTGGTATCTGGAGACGGAGAAGCCGCCGTCGCCGGGCCGTGTGCAGCTGGTGCGCGCCTCCACCCACACGCTGGAGGTGTGCTGGAGCCAGCTGCCGACGGCCGATTGCTACCTGCTGCAGGTACGCCGCCGCCTCCGCAGCCTCAGGTGTCCGTCTCGGCACTGGTTGACACACGGGCCGCCAGGTGTCACGTGTCCCACGTCGAGACGGGCGAGCAGAGCTGGGCTCGTGCTCGTGACGCAGTCCGCGACCCCTCGTTTGGCGGTACTGATGCTCAGTTGCTCAGGCTGCTCAGCAGGAGAGAGAGAGAGAGAGAGAGGGAGGGAGGGAGGGAGGGAGGGAGGGAGGGAGGGAGGGAGGGAGGGAGGGAGGGAGGGAGGGAGGGAGGGAGGGAGGGAGGGGGGGGAGGGGGAGAGGGAGAGGGAGAGAGCAGCCTACCCCCGTGACGTGCTCCGGTGTTATCACCTACAGCTGTGGTCTGATAGCCTGACCGCCGTACCGCGCGCCCGCAGATTCAGAAGTATGAGATGCCGGCGCAGTCTGCCGGCCAGCCGAGCCCAGGCGCCGCCAGCCAGCCGACGCCGACGCCGGCGCCGGCGCCCAGCTCTCCGTCTTCGGCGGCGCCGCCCGCGCGGCCCTCCATCACCTCGACGGCCGGCATCCCGACGCCGTACAGTCCCGTCAAATGTGAGCGCCCCGGCTGGACGCGCGGGGGCTGCCTTCGGGCCCGCCTGGCGCCGCCGGTCGCCTCTGGCCGGCGGCTGCTCCGGCGGTCCGTGGGATGTAGTAGCCTGCCCATGGGAAAAAGCAACTCCTTCGGTCAGACCGAAAGACTGGACTTGCTCATGCCTGCAAAGTTGCCTGGGCTGTCGGTGCATCCTCAATTATCCAACATCAATCGTCTGGATAGCTGAAGTTAGCTCTAAGAAATGCACGGCCTACCACAGTTTCACCCACAGGATGACCTGTGATCCTGCTTGCAATACCTGCCGGAAGACTATGGTTCTGCAGGCATTTAAAGGCAGCTGAATGGCGGCGGTCAATGCGCTCTAGAGCCGCTCAAGTCGCCGTGACTGCTGTTCAAATCCCTTTAGAACTGAAGCTAGGTTGGACAGAGGCTTGATGGGACACCAGTGTCGTATCGTGTCTCTCGCGCTGTTGGTGGTGTACGAACGGCCAGCTGTCGGGTTCGGTGACGCCCTGCTGAGCCGTGTGTTTGACCCCCGCACAGTCGGCACCGGCGTGCGGAAGGTGGTGACCAAGCCGGAGCCGAAGGCGGCGGCAGGTAGTCCGCAGATGTCGGGCATCGCTGCACTGGCGGCGGCGGCGGCGCAGACGCAGCGGATCGGCGGCGGCCCGCCGGCTGGCCTCGAGAGCCCTGGTGTGAAGGTGCGGCCCCTCCCACCTGCGGGCCTCCATCCCCTCGGACGGCGGAGCAGGATCCACCGACGCCTCCGAACGTGGCCGTAAAGGAGCAAGGACTAGCTTAGCTTACCTTACCACATTCATAAAGTTGTGTGCTGGTGTTCCCACCGTTTCATTGCTCCCAATACCAGGCAGCTGCAGCTGCAGCTGACTGGTATAGCTGTAGCCCTGTTGTATGAAGCTCCCTGGGCAGCGGTGTACACTATCATCAGCAGCTCGTGTGGGACGCGGTCTGGTCGCCACGAAGACTGGCACGGGCCCGGCCCCCTGCGGCCGTGCCGCCGTGTGACCCGGGCCCGTGTGTGACGCCGCTCTGGGGCTGCCGCTGTGTGACCCGAGTCCGTGTGTGACGCCGCTCTGGGCCCGCTGTGGCGACAGGTGGCCCACTCGCAGGGCGTGCGCCTGACGCCGGCTGGCGCCGGCGGCATCAGCTCCGTGCTCAAGTCGGCCGGCGCACCCAAGCAGATCATCCTGCAGAAGCCGGGCGCCGGCGGCCAGCCGCAGATCGTGACGCTGGTCAAGACCAGCCAGGGCATGCAGGTGGCCACGGTACGGGCCGCTGCCCAATCCCAGCCTTAGCTCGGCGCTCGGCGCCAGCAGCTCACAGGGAAACGCTGGCCACGTATTGGCGCGTTGGCGATTTTGGTGGCAGTCATTGTTGCTGGCATTGCGTATTGTTTTTCTTTGGGTCTTAAGAGCGATTCACTATTGGTTGTGCGTTAGTGGAGTCACTGTGTAGTGGTGGACTTGTAGCACTGGTGGGGCCGAGGCTTAATAACACGGGGTCTTGTGTATCCGCCTATTCGCCCCAAGACACCGTCTTTCTGACAGGCGCATAGTCCCGTCTTCTAACTCTTGACCATTGCGTGTGGTCCCGCCCAGGTACCCAAGGTGAACCTGCTGCAGGGCAAGCCAACTGCCCAGATGACGGCTGTCTCGGGCAGCAAGCCGCTGCCGCAGGGTGCCACCATCGTCAAGCTGGTGACGACACAGGCGTCAGGTGGGTGGCAGGGGCTGCGGCAGCGGGCTCTGCTGTTATCTGCCGGCTGACGTGGCTGGCCAGTGTCACGGCTGGCTGGTTCGCTCTGGGTATTGTGTTGCCTTTTGACGCCCGGCCGGCGTGACCGAGCCGTGCGCCAAGTCCAGGCTGGTCCCTGTTTGTCCGCTTGAGGCCGTCAGGCGACGGCCGTGCCGTGTCTGATGTGTCCCGGCCGGCGTCGCCGAGCGGCGCGCCAAGTCCAGGCTGGTCCCTGTTTGTCCGCTTGAGGCCGTCAGGCGACGGCCGTGCCGTGTCTGATGTGTCCCGGCTGGCGGCGCCGAGCGGCGCGCCAAGTCCAGGCTGGTCCCTGTTTGTCCGCTTGAGGCCGTCAGGCGACGGCCGTCCCGTGTCTGATGTGTCCCGGCTGGCGGCGTCACTGACCACGCGCCGCCGCTCGGCAGGCGCCACGCGGCCCATGGGCTCCAGCGTCATCACCATCGCCAAGCCGCAGGCTGTGTCGACGCCGAGTGGCGGCAAGCAGACGATCGTGATCACGCGCCCGGCCGGCGGCGGCGGCCTGCCGCGCGCCGCCACGCAGCAGATCGTCATGGTCTCGTCGGCGGGCGGCGGCGTCCATTCGCCCACCGCCGTCGGCCAGGCGGGTGTCAAGATGATCGTGGTGTCGTCGCCGTCGGCCACGAGCACGACGCCGGCTATCTCTCGGCCCATCACCATCTCGGTGCCGGGCCAGTCTGGCCAGGCCACAAAGACGGTGACGATCGCCGCCAAGCCGGGCGGCGGCGGCCTGGTGGGCCTGCCGGCGCAGGGCCTGCTGCCGGCCGGTCCGCGCCCCGTGGCCGTCCAGGTCTCCACGGCCGCCGGCCAGAAGACGGTCACACTGGTGGCCGGCCAGGCAGGCGGCGCCGCACAGCCGCAGAAGGTGGTGCTGCTCAACCAGCCGGCCACCACGGACGCGGCGCTGGCGGCACTGGCAGCCGAGGCCGGCCTCATCTACCCGGAGTCGGCCGGCGACCAGGCCGAGCCGGAGCCGCCGGCCGCCGCCGGCGACGCGGCCCGTCGGCCCGCCCAGCTGGACGGCGCTGATGACAGTGATGGCGACGACGAGCCGGAGCCGCCGGCGGCCGCCGACCCGGCCGATGGCGAGCGGCAGGAGCGTGCTGGCGCCACGGCCGCGCCCGAGAACGCGCGCGCCGACGACGAGGCGCCGCCGGCGGCCGCGCCCGCCGAGGACGAGACCGTGGGCCAGCCGGTCGACCCGGAGACGGAAAACCCGGGCCCCAGCGACGGCGGGCTGGAGCCGGTGGTGGAGCCGGAACCGGAACCGGAACCGGAACCGGAACCTGAGCTGGAACGGGGGCCAGAGGCGGAGCTGGCACCAGCGGTAGACGCGGAGATGAGCGACGCGCCTGAGGCACGCTGCAACGCCGAGCCGCCAGTTGAGGACGCGATGTCCGGATCGGTGCCCCAGACAGCGGTCGAGGCCGCACCGGAGGCTACCCCGGGGACAACATCAGAGGCCGCGCCGGAGACAACATCAGAGGCCGCGCCGGAGGCCGCACCAGAGGCTGCGCCGGAGGCCCCACCGGAGGCCCCACCGGGGTCGGCTGCAGAGGACGCTCCGGAGGCGATGCCGGACGCTGGTGAGCCGGCGATGGTGGACCCCAAGAAGGAGGCGGCGACCGACCTCGAGAGTGAGTCGGAGGCGGCGACTGACCCGCTGGCTACACTGGCCACGGCGGCGGCGGCGGCGGCCGGTCCCCTGGCCGGCGTCGGCGCCGCCGTCAAGGCCGAACCGAAGGCCGAGAACGGCACAGCCAAGGGCGGCGCCGAGGCCGAGGAGCGGCGTCGCGACGCGCTCTGGTTCGACGTCGGCATCATAAAGGGCACCTCGTGCACAGTCGAGTCGTTCTACCTGCCGGTGGACGAGAAGGGCGACGTGTTCGCCGACAGCGACCAGAACATGATGCGGAAGGTGGACCTGCAGCCGGGCATCGCCTACAAGTTCCGCGTGGCTGGCATCAACGCCTGCGGCCGCGGCCCCTGGAGCGAAGTGTCGGCGTTCAAGACGTGCCTGCCCGGCTACCCAGGCGCGCCATCAGCCATCAAGATCTCCAAGTCTGCGGACGGCGCCAACCTGTCTTGGGAGCCGCCGCAGAACACGGCCGGCGAGATCACCGAGTACTCGGTGTACCTGGCCGTGCGCAGCGCCACTACGCAGGCCCAGGTGAGTCGATCCGGCTGCTGCAGTGTGGCCCGAGCTGGTCGGCTGGGGAAGGACGGGATCGGAGTGTCGTGCTGTCGTGTTGTGCTGGCCGGCTGGGGAAGGACGGGATCGTAGTATCATGGTGTCGTGCTGTGCTGGCCGGCTGGGGAAGGACGGGACCGGAGTGTCGTGCTTTCGTGCTGTGCTCGTCGGCTGGGGAAGGACGCGACCGAATTGTGCCGACCGTCGTGGCTGCTCGTGGCCCTTAAATTGATACGGCGCGACACGCGCTGGGCGTGGTGTATTGATAGATATGCCTGTGATTAACGTTTTGGAGCGTTGTTAAACCGCCCCCTGGCGTCGTACGAGAAGAAGTGAGCTTAGTGCTCTACCGACATCATCATGTCCCACGGGAGGATGCAGTTGCCAGATCATTTCTTTTGAATGCATTTATTGCGCTTCTACGTCCATCCCGATGTGAAAATCCAAAGTAGTAGGGTCAGTTTGGTCGATCGCTCCAGGCAGAAGTAATTGACAGACTGGAATGTTAATTATACAGCATCTTCCTATTAGCAGCCACCAGACAACACTGTGTGTGGGGGGGGGGGGGAGGGGGGTGAAGAGAACTGCAGGGGACACACACAGTAGCGCCGGCGTATGGTCCATGTTTCGCGATTTGCACTCCGGAAGCAGGTCCCCTGTGACTTGCTCGGAGGGCACAATTACAGTTTCTCTGCATACACCAGGACAGCTGGACATGCCGGCCCAGGGCTGGGCCGGGCTGTCTGTGTTCAGCGTGTGCGGGCAGCGTGTCCGGGGCGGGGCTGCCTGGCTGACGCGCGCGGCCGGTGCCGCAGGGCGACACGAAGACGGTGTCGAGCTCGCCATCACAGCTAGCGTTCGTGCGCGTCTACTGCGGCCCGGTGAACCAGTGCACGGTGACACACGGCTCGCTGGCCGCCGCCCATCTGGACACCACATCCAAGCCGGCCATTATCTTCCGCATCGCCGCCCGCAACGAGAAGGGTTACGGTCCGGCCACCCAAGTCAGGTGGCTTCAGGGTGAGTACGCGTCGGCCGATCCAATCAGATGGCTCCAGGCAGGAGATGCGGACCGGCCACCCAAGTCAGGTGGCTTCAGGGTGAGTACGCGTCGGCTGATCCAGTCAGGTGGCTCCAGTTAGGAGATGCGGACCGGCCACCCAAGTCAGGTGGCTTCAGGGTGAGTACGCGTCGGCCGATCCAGTCAGATGGCTCCAGGCAGGAGATACGGACCGGCCACCCAAGTCAGGTGGGTCCCCAGTCAGGTCCAGAGATAGGGTGCCTCGGAGATGGGTGTGTGGACCGGCAGACAGGTCAGGTCACTGGCATGATGAGACCGTTCCGCCGGAACCGGGCGGCCATGTTGTGCTGCGCGCTAGATCAGAGCATTGGCCACTCAGAACTGCAGGTGCTTCAATCTATCAGGTTGTGTCTGATTTAGAAGCGGCCGCTTTGGGTGACAGCTTGCCAATGGGTTGACGTATTTGGTTATTCGTTCAATCCAGCATCGTTCCTCCTTTCGCTGGAGCCAATCTCGTTAGGCTGACATGGACCACAATTGTTTATTTGCCTCATAGGTACTTGCATAAGTTTCGGCCTCTGTTGGCGGATCTTCGTTTGCGTCCAGCTTTGCCACGTGATGATGTCAGGTAAATGGACTCACCCTTGACGCCTGGCGGTGCGGCCGTGGTCTGACCGCTGGCACCTCCGCAGACGCGCACGCCGGCGGTGTCAAGGCCGTGAAGCGGCTGGGCGAGCCGCGCCCCCAGGGCGTGCCGACGCCCAAGCGCGCGCGCACCGACAGCGCCAGCCAGTAGCGGCGCGCCGGCCGCCGACTCACCACACAAGTACAACGTCGCTCATCACCGCCCGCGCGTCACCCCTCACCCGTCGTCGCCGGCGGCGCAGTGATTTTAAGCCGGAGACGGTGCCGCGCCGGCTGCGAGCGGTGCGGCTTAGTTAGAGCGCCGAGCGTGGATGGACTGGGGCTGGCGTCGGCCGACGCGGCAGCGGCCGTCGCCGCCGCCGCCGCCGTTGGCGTGGGGCTGGCGTCGGCCAGTGCGCCGGGTTTAACCGCCGGCTTATCGAATGCTTGTACGTCGTTCCAACGGTGTCCGTTAATTTGAGAACCTTCCATTTCGTCTAGGATAAGGACGTAGTTTGTAACTATGGTTAGAAACGGGGGTTTTCCCCTTGTCGTGTTTGAAAATAAACTGTCGCAAATAAAGTCGTTTTGCAAGGTTTGCTTGTGCGAATGAGGAGGCGTTATTTCCTCGCCACCGTGCGATCCTTGGCACTCAAGGAGGCGTGACGCTATGAATTGTGCTACTGGTCAGCGATCAATTACATAACAATGTTCTCCGGGAGCACATTTATAAACATTGCAAAACATGCGTGGGGCGAGAGCTCGGCTGGTTTGAGTGATGTATTCAACCGAAGCACGGCGGACAGCTGGCCGTCACGCGGCCGAAGCTGCCTCGGGGGTGATGGAGGTGCCGCCGCCGGCCTGCGCGGTGAGGTGGGCCGCCGTGGCCCTCGGTCGGCGGTCGGACGCGGCGCTCAGAGGAACAGGCTGCGGGCCGTCGGAGCACGACAGGACTCCTCCTTCTCGTAGGCGCAGCCAACGCAGCTGGCGGCAGACGGCGCACGGTTAGCGGCCGGCGACGGGCGGCGCACGGTTAGCGGCCGGCGGCGGACGACTTCGGCACGGGTCGCCGGGACGAATCGCTGGCTGCGACACCACACATAGCATGACATGCACGGAATTTGGAAACTGTGGGTGGAAGGATTGTTCGCCGACTGGAGCTGTTGTCAATGTTTTCAATTACCATATATGATCAGCACACCATTGCATGCAGCGACGCATGGGTAAATGAAGTTAACGAAGAGCTCTCGAGATGAGGATACATTCGGTGTGGCTGCTCTGCTGTCGTTTCTTGTAGCTTATACAACGGCTCGGACCGCAATGGGCTGACGGGTGCACATAAGCCCAACATCTTAGCTGTGGCGTGTTCGGGGTGCATTATATTTACATTGGTAGTAGGCGGTGCAGCGGGGCTACTCACAAGAAATCCACCATGGAGCCGTACATGAGGCCGACCACGTAGTCGGCGGGGTTGGCATCTGACCGCACGAAGGCCCGTGAGGCGACGGACGCCACCGAGTCCAGGCGCACTTGAGCCACACTCGCCTCACATACACCCTGGGGGTGCAGGCCAGCGCAGGTCAGCCAATCGCCAGCGGCCTGCAGCCTCCCGCGCGCTGCCACGGACCGGCCGTGCCAGTGCGCCAGTACTGTACCGCTGGTGCTGGTGATGTTGCGCTGGTGCTGATGCTGTTCACTTCCTGCGTCGAGGGCTTAAGGTGCTTCAGATTGAGACGTGGGCGTAGTGGAGCAGATGGAAGTGAATGAGTATAATAGTTTAGTGGAGATGGTGACTGCCTGCCTGTCCTGGTTCGCCGCACTCCTCAAACGCTGATGTAAAGGCATCCATGCACGGCTATATAAACTGATTTGGTCTTGACCTGCTCACCGAGTCCTCGTTAGAGAGCAACCCCGTTACCTCTTTTGCCCTTTAAACCCGTTTATGACGGCACCGTAGTTTTTATGGTGAGTGCTCGTTTCTAAGCGTTCGTCGGATCCCGATCAGGAGCCGGCGGGAAGCCGTTAGGCTTCTTCAGGTAAGAGAGAAGGGGCCACCGTCGGCGCAGGCCCAGGCTCCTTCTGGCAAGAGGGAACGGACCACCGTCGGCGCAGACTCAGGCTCCTTCAGACAAGAAGGCACGGACCACTGTCGGCGCAGACTCAGGCTCCTTCAGGCAGGAGGGAACGGACCACCGTCGGCGCAGGTGGTTCGCAAATTGTCCGGCAGACGCCTGTCATGCCGTTGAGAACCACCGAAGACGAGGACCCGAACGTAAATTGCACGCTTACATACTGCGCATGTTCACATAACTTAGTGGTCAGCGTAGTGGCCCAGTACCAGCTCCTGTCGTGTCTGACATACCCCGTGCGCCAGTCGCCGGGAACACCCTATCTGCATCCGTTACAGCAACAAACCGTGGCAGCGCCGCGTGTACGCATGCACCCGACACTTCAGCGGGACCACTACGTACCCAAAGCAGGAGCCAGCCGAGGCAGGCTATCAGCGCGGCGGTCCTGGCCATGGCTGCAGCAGTGCGGGGAATGGGCGGCCAGCCGGCAACGGGGTCCGCACAACGACTCGCAGGTCATTAACCGACACCTGGCTCTGACAGGCGGCTGGCTGTGCGTCATTACAGCGTCATTATCGCTGGGCAGCCGACCGCGCAGCTGGCTAACGTGGCGCTGCCGCCCGCTCCGCACTGCCAGGACACCATGCCTTAGCCACTTTACTCCATATACGTAGTCCAGTCATGAACTGCCTTAACAGCAATACCTGCCACACTTTCTACAGCTGCCGTCTGGCTACCAACTCCGTGTGCCGAGCCGCCTGGCATCTGGATTGCCCGGCCCACAGGGGCCGCCCGTTCCCTGAAGTCGCCACCAGCGGCGGTTCCGGCCCTCTGCTGAAGCGGTACAGAGCCGGTGCGCCACCTCTGAGCGGCCGACTCGCTCCGTGATGCCCGCTGCTTGAGAACTAGGACAGACATGGGGCTGACTGGCTCGCAGCGAGCGCCCGCTAGCATCGGCCCTTATGCTTTCTGCCACGATCGAAGCTGAAGCGTTCGCACCGACCGCAGCTCACCAACGGATGCGGCGAGCTGCAGGTGAAACAGCCCACCGACCGCCGCAGGTGAGATAGAGGTGAGCCCCGCTGGCTGTCCCAGTCGGTGGTAGTGGGGCCAGTTCGATCGCGAGCCGTCATTTTCGAGTGCTGGGATGCGAGGGGCGCGCGGCAGGGCACCAACTGGATCATAAACATGGAAATACGACGGCGATTTACTCGCGAGAGGTCCGATCATGTGTCAAGAGATAGCCCGCCAAACAGCAGAGGCACGGACAGCCACAGGGCCTGCCGAGGTTTGCTACATGCCGTGTGCGTGCATGTGTGTGTACTATCGCAATGAGCTGGGTGAGGGTTACGTTGCGGGAATATCGTGGGCACCATTTATCGGCGTAGTCGAGGCGCTCGAAGGCCCAGTACCCAACTGAACATTGTTGGGGGCCTCATCCGTTGTCTGAACCAAGGACGACCGAAGCGAGGGAGAGGCAACGGAGCAGCCAACCACAATGCAGATTTTTGGGCAAGTGAGCCTTAATCGCAAAACGTTTCATAGGCACCCAGCAAAAATCCCCTCGGTTCCCCGCTCCTCCAACCCCAAAAACCTGTTTCATCCACTTCAGTGCTGTTCTGGCTGCGCTGGTCCAACGCCAGATGCAACACCTAGATGTTACCTCGTCAGTCACGTCGTTCGCAATCCTTTGTTTACCGCCTTGCCAACATCCATGGAAAAAGACATTAGTGACGAGTGTATTGCACGCAGATATCACAGATCGGTTTGGGAGCGCCACACCCCGACAGCGTTTGGGAGCGTCACACCCCGACAGCGCGTTCACTTTGTACTGGATCTGGGTGAATGCAGATCATCGCCGTCCGCTCGCCTGCAAAACACAGCCTGTTATCGGACGCCGTGGAAGCAGTACGTGACATCACGCGGCGGAGGTGCCCTGGCAGCCGTTGCATGAAACAGCAGGGTGCGTGCCCAGTATACACCGGCTGCTAATGGCTCGCCTGCATATGCTTCAGGCTCAAACAACGCACGCTTCCTGGTTTGATTTGGGTTGATGGGCGACAACGCAAGTAATTCCACACGTAAGCACGTCCTCAAGCATTCAACCCAAATATCATGACTCGTGCAAACACCTGGAACAGTCATTACGATGCGCGCAATCTTTACACTCATGCAGTGCTGGGGTCCATGAAATGCAGTGAATCAGTTGAATTGAATTTAGCGGTGAAGTCCAGAAAACAAACATGCTACGTTACAGATGCAATTTGGTATATGGACAACGGTCGGCCACAGATGGGATGTCAATTTTATATTGACAAAAGTAAAGCTTTGGTTTCATCACGATATAATCCGATCGGAATCTGGAACACGTAACTTTGTGGTAGCATTGTCATAAGCCCAATCAGCACCTTTCACTATCAAGAACCAACGCTTTAACCATTGATTTACCTTAATCCACCTACCTAGCCTACCTAGTCATCTCAAGGTAGCAACAGCTCCTACATCTGTTCTCTGTTGTTGCCTGCCTGCCTGCTCTGGGCGTCGACTCTGCGGTCACCTAGGTCGCCTCTTCTCTAGAGCGTGCCACTATCGCCAGCTCTCAAACTAGCCTGCTCCTGTCTGACAGCGTGACAACCAGGTCCACGCACACGGCATCAGCTAGTGGAACCATATATGCCTGCATTACAGAAAACACCCTACACTTAGTGATCGTCGTGTATTCTGACAGTTTGTACAGGAGCGGCGGCCGGCCGGGCGCGCGCACGCGCCGTCCTGCCGGACAGCGGCCGGCGCGCGCCGCTCCACTGTGAGAGCACTCGAACCGCGCGACCGGGCCACGGGGCGGGGCGCGCCCTATCGCTAGCCTCCCGGCCTCCTAGCGGCTACCTAGGCTCCTCCCTTCTCCTGACAACCAAATACAAATAACCCCACCTAAAACAGACAGAGCATACTGGTTACACAGCGATGACACGAGTGGCCTCTGATCAGCTTCCGACACAAAGCAAAGCAAAATCAGAATGAGCAACGATTCCTGTTGTCCATTACCGCGTGACCGATCAACGAGCGCCAGCCGCCCGGTTATGAAATGCAGCAGAAGCCGTCACATGTGGCGTTACACAGAGGTGCCGCCCGGCCGCCGCACGGGGTGGGCTGGAGCCCTGTCGTGGCCCCGTCCCCGGTGGCCACTTACGCGACGGCGGGCGGGCGGTGGTGGCGGCGCGGCTCAGAATCGGTTGTACCCTCCCTGGCCTGCAACACAGCCCAGTCTCGGTCAGCCCGTCCGTCGCCAGCAGCCACCTTCCATGAGTGTTCAAAGTCCGGCACGGCGTTCGCTTGTTGGTGTCCGAACTACTAGAACCCATACTAGACTAAACGAAATAATTCGGCGAAGTGCGCCAGTCCCATCGTTTGACACAGCGCCGAGGGTGCCGACTTGACGCAGCAAAGAGTACGACATAAAAGACAATTTAAAGGGCACACATACAAACACTGATGTCACTGATGAGCAGCATAGCAGAAGATTAACTGTATCACAATGCACTTGGAGAAAAAGACAAATGAGAAATGCGACCGTCTCTTGTCCTCCCCCCCCCCCCCCCCCACAATTTTCTGGCATGTGTAATTTCAGCTCTTGTACATCTCAGACATACCGTATAATCGCGCCGAAATTATCGATGTCGTAAGGCAGTCACAATACGTTTCCATACAAAAAACCATGTCACTAGCGTTTCTAGTTTTGTAGTAGCGATGATCTTTTAGGAGCACTGCATGGTGAGACATTAGCATGAAAAGCTGGAAGTGAGATCGTGTACATTCTTCCATAAACGATGCTCCACGAGACATGACTGATGGCGGATTCCCCTGGCCTATTCACAGCTGATGTCCCGATGACGTTCGCGCTCACCACCGCCGTATCCGCCGCCGCCGCCGCCGCCGCGCTGTGCGGAATTGTAGGGCGACGAACGGGGCGTCTGGTTAAAGCTCTTCATCGGGCCACCGCCACCGCCGCCACCATACGGCTGGCCGCCGTAGCCGCCGCCGCCGCCGCCGCCCCAGCTGCCGCCGCCGCCGCCACCTGCGTGGAGATAGGTCCGTTCATGACCGTGTGGGAAACATGTTGTATTTGACATCAGCTGACGCTCCATATACATACGTGGCTTTTAGGTGTCATCAGTCCGAGAGATATATGTATGTGCAGCTCGTAAAAAAAGAAAGTGGCAAGGGATAAACAAATAGACGCATGCACGCATTCACAGAGTGAGGCTACCCTGTCGCACGAAAAGGACTTGGCAACACGCTTAAACTTGTTGAATTCAGTCGTCGAACATCCACGGGCAGCTCATTAATGAGAGCCGCCGCTCGTCCTGCCGCCGTGTGCACCGCTTGGGGAGGGGGGGGGGGGGCGCAGGTTATGCTCTACGTGGGTAGTTTGGTCTGCATGTATTCAATGAGGTGCTTGTTTGATAGAAACTTGAAGCGGCGAACAAGGTAGGTAGCAAGAATACAGTTGAAAGGGTCCTGACCCTATTGGCTACTGCTAGGTTGTTGGAACAAGGTAAAGTTGTGATACCGGACAAACACAGCTTGGAATGTCGCGGCTGCTACTTACCGCCATTGTAGTCGTATCCGCCGCCGCCACCGCCACTATTGTAACCGCCTCCGTAGCCACCACCGCCACCCTGACCACCCTGGTAGCCTCCGCCACCTCCGTAGCCGCCGCCACCTCCGTAGCTGCCGCCGCTACCGCCATAGCCGCCGCCGCCACCGCCATAGCCGCCGCCGCTCCCGCCGCCGTAGCCGCCGCCTCCGTATCCTCCACCGCCGCCGCCGTAGCCGCCGCTGTTGCCCCACTGGCCGCCGGAGTTGTCCCACGGGCTGTTCTGGTGGCCCCAGCTGCGTCCGCCGCCGCCACCGCGGCCACCTTCACCCCACGGCCCGGCTCCGCCGCCGCGTCCACCACGGTAGCCGCCGCGACCACCGCGGCCGCCACCGCCCAGTTCGGCCATCTCCGCCTTGCTCAGCGCCTTCTTCACATCCACGAACTTGCCCAGCAGCTCATGGTTCTTCTTCACTGTCGACCACAGAACAAGTGTCATCGCGGAGCCGCCCACCAGTGGGTGACGACAGGACGCCCGTACACCCCCAATATTCCCAGCGCTTCAAGACACCGGTCATTCTCTGCGGTCTCATATGACTGACGTCTACAGATCCGCAAACACAAGTAATAAAGATGTCAGCATTGATCATCTCCCAAGAACTATTTCGAGCATTCTATAACCTGATAAAAGTCCGTTACTTACATACGATCTTGTCAACAGAGTCGTAGTCCTTAAACTCGATGAATGCGAACCCGCGCATCTTGCCGGTGTTCTTGTCAATAGGCATGCTCACGGAAACAATTTCACCATACTCCTGCAAAGTGGCGAACACAGCAAGTTGCGGTTTATCAATACCCAGTAACATAACCGAAATCGGTCCTATTGCACAGGATGCCTCTATAAACTAGACAGATGTACACATACAGAGCAGGGCGAGCAGTTTTACAAAATGGGTTTTGGGAGAGTGGGGGGGGGGGGGGGGGGAGCGGTGAAGAATAGTCAAGCCTTCCCTTAAAGTGCACCCAAAAACGCCTCCCCGCCTGATTTGGTCCAGTTTATTCCCACTGTTTTGCGATTGAAGAACATGTTGGAGGGAGGGGGGGGGGGGGGGCGGGCGGGGCCGAGACACCTCTCAACTGAGAAGGAAGCTACACCCTTACGCCCAAGATCAACAAACTACGCAAGGACTCTGAATATCAGCGACAGCCCCACACCACCCAGGTTAGACACCTGCAAGAACCATGTGCCATTAGAAGTTTTTGGCGCATCAGCTGCTGAGGTTATGTGACATTGTCCGCATCTTGGGGCGAACATCGCCAGGGAATCGAACCACCCACCTCTAGTTTCGCCTCCGATTTCCCGGACGCCCAGCTTAACCAGTGTACAGCTGACACCCCAGCAAGAACCAGCACAGACGTATGACTAGGCCTACCCAACGCACGGTGACGTGACGGCAAAGCTCACCCCGAAGTACTGCTGCAGGTTGTCCTCCTGCACGTCCTCCTTAATGCCTCCGATGAAGATCTTCTTCACGGTGACGTTGTTCTCGAGGCGGCCTGAATCGTCCCGCGGCACGGCCCGCTTGGCCTCCACCTCGCGGCCGTCGATCACGTGTGGCCGGTTGGCCATCGCTTCGTCCACCATGGCCGGGTCTTCGTACGTGATGAAGCCAAACCCGCGAGACCTTCAAAGTACCGCACAATGAACGTTGATCGCGGTAAAACTGCAGATTTTGCACAATGCCTGTTTGGTTAGGAGGTTGCTGACTGGCATTACAAGAATGCCTCATCAAAACTACAGCTCAGTTAAATAGGCAATTGACAACAGTCCAATACATACAACAGACTTATCGGACAGCTGGTAGCACCCAAACAGTAAGGTTAGTAGTCCTGACATTAAACACATACCGTCTAGTCTTGGGATCCTTCATGACGATAACATCCACAATTTTGCCCCATTGCTCATAAAAGGCCTTGAGGCCGTCGTCAGTTGTTCTGTAGTCGAGGCCTCCGATGAAGAGCTTTCTCTGCTGCTCTGCCTCCTTGCCAACACCCTGCCAAAAAGGAATTATAGCTGTTGTTGGGGTGCAGTGTGTTCTATATCCCAGGCAGTGTTCCAATATTTGGCCACTCAGTCACTCAGAGGCAGCCAAAAAGCAGTTGAGTTTATATTGTTTAGATCATGATTCTCTGGTCAGATTGCAAACAAATGACTGGCATCCAGACCCAGCTGTGGTGCACTTCTCTGCCCAGCTACTCAAAGGATGGCAACTGGACACTTCCCATTGCATTTGTAACCTTTAATGACACACTTGACTATGTTCACAATCTGTACATATCAGCCTCATGGCCTGGACCAGATGAGACCAGATGGGGCCTGATGGTTGCAAACTGAATTGGATGGGACCAGACAGAACCATACACCTCCTTACAGGTCCACATAAAAGTGGATGGAAAGGGATGTTTGGTCAGGCCCGACTTCACTGGATGGGACCAAATGGGACCAGACAGGATCATAGGATTGAGTGTGACCAGAAAAAGATTGGACTGCAAAACAAAACAAACCAAAACCAATACAGAATATGGAACTTAAAAGCTGACAGAGTGGATATGACCTACAGGACCTAGACCCTACAGGAACTAGATGGGTCAGAACAGGGCCAGGCAAGACCAGTGTCCAGTTTGGCCCAGTCTCTTTTGATCCCAAATGGTCCAATCTGCAAAATGCTAAAATGCAGCAGACTGGTCAACAGATATTTGTGAGAACCCCAGATGGGGCAGCAAGCTGCCCCAAATAAGCAGACTGAGATCTTACTGATGATCTCCAAAATGTCAGTCACCCACAGTTTGCATCAACCAATGCACAAGTGGCATGACCACCAGCTGATCATGTACCACTGTGCATATAATAAGGCCCATCCAATCTTTTTCCCAATCAAATACCTGCCCAGTATACCTCAGGCTACCCCAGAAAATCATGAGCCACCCTAATTAAGGAATTCCTGCCCAAACATTCCAAAGCCTGCCCCACAAACTCTTCCCTCTACCCTGCCCCAATGAAATACATCAACTCTGCATGATCTGCAGACTGGCCATGGGCTGCCCCCACAACATGTGGGCTACCCCAATCAAGGAGTTCCTGTCCCAAAACTTTCAAAAACTACTGCTTAAATTCACAACACTGCTTCAATAAAATATTGTTGAAATCTGCCATGTTTTGCAGACTGGTCATGGATGGACCCTCCTTCCCCCAAACAGACATGTGAGCCATCCAAATTAAATTCCAGCTCAAAACTTTCCAAAACCTGCCTTACTATAAATTCTTGCCCTGAGCCCCAGCCCCAATAAGATCCTGGCACAACCTGCCACATGCCACATTTTGCTGGCCGGAACAAGGTGGTAGCAGCCTTAACACATTTTAAAAACCTGACGATGTCCGACTGGCATTGCCATGCCACACACATCAAGAGTATAGTACTTTTTTGTCATCTGGAGGTTTGCGTATGCCTCAATGATGGCTCAATTGAAGGCCACACTAATGAATTTCTGAAGTATAACCTAAATTCTCTCACAGCATTTCTAAAGGAAATCTATTTGAAACTTAAGCAGAGCCAACCAGCATCTAAAACTTGGAGTTTGTTGTTGTTGTTGGGGTTGTTGCTTGGTGTTTTTAGCCCCAAGACATTTTGTTCTCCACAAACATACACTGGTAACAAAAAGAAAATTGCTCTATGTGAGGAACGTGCGATGGAGGCATGCTGTTCATGACATTTTGACAGCACCATCTGCCACTCGTATGACCAAATGAGATACTGTTTGCAGGTTTCAGCAGAATGGTTCTACTACATCACACACAATCTTTCCCATGTAGATATACATTGCTACCTAATGCTAGAAAAATCATTGCATACCATTTGTGTTTAAGGCAAAACATATTGTAAATAACCTTAAACCAGGTCGATTCATGCTACTACCTTAAAATTTTAATATTTACGACAGGGAGATCCCGAGCGCCGCATGCGCCCCACCACCTCGACACCCAGCACCGTTTCCGCATTGCCGTTGCGTAATTACAATATTTCTGCTTATCAAGAACTATAACAAATTACAGGACCAAGGTAACAATAATAATGCAATGAAAAACATTTATTATCGTGGCCAGGTGCGTTAATGAAACAGACAGGCCAGAATGGTCCAGAACACAGCCTGAACTAGCCTAAACTAACCCAACCTAACCTAGCCTAGCCTAACCCCCACCCTATCCCCTTCAACCCAGTGTCCCATTCACATCCATGTCCCATGCCATATATATGCACCACATTAAGAAGTTTTGTTTAGCCACCATATTCTCACTTTACTTTTCATTCCCACACAAAAACATCATATTTCCCCATCATTTTGACCAATCTACAAACAATATGGAGGACTGCTTGCATACACAAGACACAAATTTTGTTGCATTCTTGCTACCTTGGCCTCATACATTTTTATGGTTCTTGATGCACAGTAATGTGATCATGCAGTAATGGTAGTAATGTTGTGATCACCTGTCGAAATGTCACCAGGGTCGTGATTACTGTGTGTCTGCACTTGGATGTTTGCTATCATAGTTATTTAAATTCCAAGGTAGCAGCTTGGATGACCTGTTTTATTATTAATTATGATGTTACGCCTAAAAACGGCAATTGATGTACGACGCTCTTTCTTACCATGAGGTAGCAATGTATACCCTGACCCAAGTTTCAGATACAGCTGGTGCGCAGCCGCCCTCCATGCGGGAAGGTGTATACACATTGCCATTATTATTTGAAAGTTTGTTAGTATTGACCTTCAAGCTCCCGATCCCGATACCATTAACAAGTTATGGATAGATTCAGTGTGGAATGTCATGATGATGTCCGCCCCGCGCATGGCAAGCCTAGGCTTTAACTGTTCAAGTATGACTGACGGTACAATCATGTGAAAGAGCGTTCCAACCGTCGATGGCTCGCGTGCTGAACGAGTTATGAGGAACGTGAGTTCTAGCTGGAAGTCTCCTTAGCTTTCGAGTCCAGTCATCCTCGATCGCATGATTACACAGACACAATCTAAACGTACTCAGCTCGTTACTCACCGGCATCTTTACTTCTACAATCAACCGATACTCTACAGAACCCAACCCGCAGACACCACGCTGAACTCAAAATGGAGACTGACGTTAACGTGCCCGTTGCTCCTAAAAGATATGACCCTAAAAAACGAGTCTTATAGTGTAAGGAACCTAGTAAAGTCTTTTACTTGCAGAAAATTTGTTAAAATTCAATAAAAAACAGCTAATTTTTAAAAATCAAAATGGCTAAATGATACAACAGTGAGTTTTTGGGCGAAAAACAGCCTTATCGCTTATTCCAACTAAAACTTTACTTCAACTGTGGCGTCAAAATTAGACTTAATCCAATACTATGAGGCAAATTTTGAGCTATTACTCTACTCTAAATTTTCAAATTTAAGTTAGTAATTTCACACAGTCCTGTTTAGCAAACATGCCAAAATAAATTCGTGTCATTTTGAATTTAGAAGCAACACATATTCGCCCGCCATTGACCGGGGGAGCGCGGTCGCCGGGGTTTGTTGCGTTGGTTGGATAGGTCGGCGTTGTAATGGAATTATGGCGACGGTGTGGTGGTGCTTTCGGATGGATCTTTTTATTTTCTTCACTTGCGTTGCTATCATTGGAAGGGGGTTTCTTTTGGAGAACTCGATATTTCTGGTCATGGGGAATGTGGTGTTAGGGTTTAACTACATACCTACGAAAATCGTCTTTTTGGATGCCGTGCACCCGTAGGCCAAGATATTGTGCAAATTGGCAGCTCTGTGGTTGTCGTAGGTTTAATTCCCAGTTGTGTTCGAGGGAATAGAGTGTGTTGATATTGTCATGTTAATTAAGTATAGGTAGCAACAATGGTTAACCTGTCATTGTGGAAGGCGTCGAGTTTGTCTACATCGCTTGTGCTGGCACCGGGTCCGTTGGTCTTGCATTTTATCATGCTTTAGGTATTTTTTCCACCACTGGTGTGGCGGGGTATGACATTCAGGTTTAGTTTCTTTGGTGTGATAGGCAGAGGTATGTAGCAGCCACAAATTTGGTTTTGCATGGTGGCTCAAAACTATATTTGGAATCTTCTTGGATATTGTAATTTTGTAGGTCATATACCTCAAGCCACAAATTTGCTGCTTAACTTGTTAGGTACTAATTACTGAAAGTAGACATGTACTTGATATTTCTTGTGTTTAGCCATTGCTTACAGTGATGCTAAGAAATTAAAATAGCCATTGGTTCTTTCAAGTAGAGTGGAGGTAAGCTGAAGGAAACATTTTGGGACCAACAGCACAAACCAATGGAACAGATAGGTGCCAAAGCTTGGTTGGTGTGATTAATGGATATATTTATTGGTGCATTATGCTGTGTAATAAGCTTGCCATTAAGTTCTATGGGAGAGCTTTTTACTTTGATAGTCAGTTTGTTGCCTTAAATTCAGGTGTATATAAAAGTGCTGCTCAGAATTGTTGGCGATGTTTTTTTGCAGTTGAGATGATGCAGATTGAACATTTATCCAGGGAATAATAAGCATCAGTATTTGGAGAACATAATGCATGTTAATCCTTTGGGAGCACCTGTCAGTCTTTGCAATAGTTCTGGAAGCCAATCTTCTGGGTTTAAGTGTCTGGCTTTGCATTAGTTTTGGAAGTCAATCTTCTGGGTACACCTATCTAGCTATTCATCAGTGCTGGATGTCAATCCTGTAGGTACAACTGTCTAACTATGTATCAGGTCTGGATGTCAATCCTGTAGGTACACCTGTTCAGCTATGGATCAGTTCTGGATGTCAATCCTGTGCATACAGCTGTCCAGCTATGGATCAGTTCTGGATGTCATCTGCTGGGTGTGACCATCCAGCTATGCCTCAGTGCTGGATGTCAATCCTGTGGGTACAGCTGTCCAGCTATGCATCAGGTCTGGATGTCAATCCTGTGCATACAGCTGCCCAACTATGCATCATTTCTAGATATAATTCCTCTGGGTACACCCATCCAGCTGTGCATCAGTTCTGGATGTCAGTCCTCCGGATACACCTGTCCAGCTGTGCATCAGTTCTGGATGTCAGTTCTCTGGATACACCTGTCCAGCTATGCATCAGTTTGGGATGTCAATCTTCTGGGTACACCTGCCTGGCTATGAATCAGTCTGGGAAGTCAGTCACATTGGTATGTCTGTCCAGTTGTGCATCAGATCTGGATGTCAATCCTCTGGGTACTCCCCACCTACCTGTGCATCAGATCTGGAAGTTGTCCTCTGAACATGCCTGTCTTCCCATACATCATATCTGGAAGTCAATCCTCTGGGTACTCCCTCCCTTGCTATGCACCAGATCTGGAAGTCAATCCTCAGTACTCCCTCTCTTGCTATGCACCAGATCTGGAAGTCAATCCTATAGGTACTCCCTCTCTTGCTATGCACCAGATCTGGAAGTCAATCCTCTGGGCACTCTGTCTTGCTATGCACCAGATCTAGAAGTTGATCCTCTGGGTACTCCCTCTCTTGCCATGCACCAGATCTGGAAGTTGATCCTCTGGGTACTCTCCTCTCTTGCTATGCACCAGATCTGGAAGTTGATCCTCTGAGTACTCCCTCTCTTGCTATGCACCAGATCTGGAAGTCAATCCTCTAGGTACTCCCTGTCATGTATGTTACACAAGACACATCACATTGTCTATAATTTTTCCTTGGATATAGCTGTGTGGGTATCAGTTTCACTATGTGTGCACACATCAAGTCAGTTCCCTCATTTTGCACTCTCTTCACCTGAGGCTGTTTCTTCATGTGGAATATTGACCCCCCCCCCCCTCCCCCCCTTTTCAAGTGAAGATGCATTGTCAACACCATCCATCCCCAAGATTATGTAGGGTTGACTTGTGCATCATGTACAGCATAGCTTAGTTTCACAGATGTGTTTTATCCTGTGAGGAATGATAAAGCCATGGGAGTTGGTGAGCTCTTGCCTGGCTTTAAATCTGAGTGTGAGGTGTCTGCAAAAGTATTTTCCAATGCACACCTTGATCATTCTTTGGGTTTTAGGAACTAGGATTGTGAAAGGTCAAGGCATGAGCATCAATGGCCTGTCTGCCAGCACATGCATGCCAGAAATAATTATGCTCCATTTATATCTGTGTGCTATGTTGGGATGTATGATGTGCATTTATATGAAGGTGAAATAATCAGACCATCAACTTAACACAACATTACATGAACAACACAACATTAATGCTAGCCAGCAAGCTCAATGTCATTGGTATGTATGCACATTGCAACATTTTGCAAGCATGTATGGCTCATTCATGACTACAGTTGCAACCTATATTGCACAGTCCCATTCACATATAGTCAGCTCACATATTCTCATCATTCATATCTGCATCCTATCGACTTGAACTCAGTGTTCAGAAACATTATGCTGATATCCAGGATCACTGGGTGTTCAAATGTAGCAATAGGTAACACTAGCAATCTTCAACAGATAACTGTAACCAGATTAAGGAGTTTCCATCTTGGCAACTATGTAAGGATGAACTGCATGTGGGGTGGGTGGACTTCTGTTCAACATGGGAGCAATAATATCCATGTTATTCTACCAAACTTTGAAAAGTGTTGTGTTTCTCAGGATCTTGGAAGTGTACAAAATGTTCACCTTGTCCATTATTTCTGCAAATGAATGTTTCACGATCAGTGTGTTTTGTTTTGTATGATGTGTTGTCTCACGGTATGTGATGGCTTGAAACATCACAGAAGATGTAACACTTATGCAATGGCTAGACAGCAAACACTGACTTCAGAGGATGCTCATAGTTAATGTGGCATGCTTCCTGTAATTGAAAGTCAGCATTCTTGGAGCTATTCACAGCGTCAGTTGTAAATATGATGTGAAGAGGCATGAGGTATGTGAGTCCAACTAGCAGCCAGAAGTTTAACTAGATGGTTTTGTTCCACAAGAGGGAAAAGACATACACAGACCCCATGTTTGTAGTAAATACACCATGTTGGTGTTTGTGAAGGTACACAAGTGTTAACGGCAGACATGCCTTTTATGATATGCAAGCCAAGGGTGCTGTCACTCTCCATCAGCCATGACCATGTTGACTGCAGGAGATATGAACAGAGCTGTTGAATTCAGCTTTATGATCATTGCGCCCTTTTTGATGCAACAATTTGTTGCAGTTTTAACAATAAAGGAGAACATGACTGAGGAGGCAAAGGATCTGAAGGAGGTTAAGGCTTCTGATGCAGATGAAGGTGCCGAAGAGGAGGAGGAGTACTCTGTTGAGAAAGTACTTTCCAAAAGGATCCGGAATGGAAAGTTGGAGTACCTGTTGAAATGGAAAGGATACTCTGAGTAAGTAAAATGGTTTCCATGCTGTTTGATCCTATTTAATGTGAGCCACTGTGTTTGAACTGATGTCCTTGTGCTGAAAATGATTGTCCTTTTTGTTGAGGGGTTTCAGCTCAATGATATAAAAGATCATGAGCATTGATCTGGGATATATATAAATACATATATACTTGATGTGTCAAAGGTCATTTATTTTTGGCCTGACCTGCTGTCCTTTTCATCATCAGTGGGGCTTTGTGACATCTCAGCTGTTGAGGGTATAAGGCGGTTGCCTGCCTCTCACCATGGTGGGAAGGGTGAGCACCATGAGCGATCAAACTTGCCATCTTAGGTTTCCCAGACATGTGGTTCCTAATGCGGACATGTTGATCACTACATTGCTGTCACTTGCAGTGCACTCCAAAACACTCATGTGATTCATTCCTGGTAGCTAAAATATTCTACCTAGCTTTGCAGGCCATTGGAAGGTTAGACCTTAAAATGAATTACATTTGTGTAAGAGTGACTTAAATCTAATCAAACCAGCATAACAGTTGAAAGCAGATGATTTGTAGCATGTGTTAATAATGAGCATGATCACTTTGTTCCCTTGCTTGACTCCTTGGTAGGTAATTGGATACAGTTTTCTTTGTAACTCTGACCTTGTGATTTGTCACCAAAGGTCATGAAGTGAGGTCATTTATGTTCTCCAAATATTGTTGGGAGTGTGATATGCAAGATTGCAGATCAGACTATCATCTGATGAAATGAACTGTTGAGGTGCTCTGGCGAT